TTGTAAGAGCATCATTATTAAGAGTATGGATGAAATATAAGAATCATTTTTATACTAAAACACCTCTATGGGTTTCACCGATGGAGGCGTATCAAAGAAGATTACTGGGTTGGAGAGCGTGGCCAACATATAGAGATATACTAGTGAAGAATACTATGGAAATTAAATCCTTCCAGCAAATGAAAGAAATAAATGGTAATTTGACGTGGTTACACTACTTGCAAATGAAAGAATATATCAAGCAAGACAATAAGATAGGCTTCGCCTGGGAAGAGTCAACTTGGGACAAAATATTAAAGACGAATAAGAAAGTAATTTCAGTTATTTATAATACACTATTAACCTGGCTAACGGAGTGCGAGCAAGTGAAAACATGTATGATAAAATGGGCCGAAAACATAAGAAGACCTATTCAATTTAGGGAGTGGGAGCAGATGTGGAACAAAAAATTGAAATATGTATATGCAACAGATTTAAAAGAAAACTGGATAAAAATGTTCCACAGATGGTACACCACTCCTAAGAAATTATCTTTAATGAACAAGAATACTTCTGATAAATGTTGGAAGGGTTGCCATCAAACAGGTACTTTTTATCATATGTGGTGGACGTGTAGAAATTAAGAGAAATAAGAGAAATGGACGAATTAACTTTTTTCTTGAAAAAGAATACCGGGAACCCGATAAAGAGGACAGATTGGACTCTATATGAAAATTACGAAAAGGAAATAAATAAATAAGAGGAATACTATGAAGTGGATATAATGGAAATATCATTGAGGACACAACACCTGATGGAGAGATGGAAGTCAATTTTTATTTTATACTTTTTTTCTCTTTTTTTCCTTTTTTTTCCTCTTTATTTTGTGTGGCTTTTATATTTTTGTATTTTTTTGGTGGACTTGGGGGTATGGGGATGTATTTCTTACTTTTTTCCTACTTTCCTATCATCTTTTTTAATATTCTCCCTCTTTCGATGTTATTTTTAAAACCTTAATAAAAACTATTATAAAAAAAGGCTTTAAATAAACTGGTGGCTTCCTTAATCTTGTCCACAAGGGACAGGCAACTGTCTTCATTAATTGTCCTTATACTGTGAGAGGAAAACCCTTTTTTAACCTCTCCCAGGCTGTCTGTTATCTATGTTTTGTTGGTGTGGGATCTACTACCGATTCCAAACTGCATCTTGGTACCGAGTAAACCTACCAGACAAAGCTTGTAGATTCTCCAGCTGGAGTTCTTTGGGTCTGCAAAGCTGTTTTCCCTCTGGAATTTCTTTAAGACTTTAGGGCTGTTTTCCTCAGATGCTGAGAGGCTGAAAGACAGAATGTCTTGAGAAGTGAAGCTTGTCCACGTCCTCTAACTTAGCTTTCCTCACTAAGACTAACTAAAAATGGCCCCCTCTTCCCTTCCCATCTCCCTAGGAGAATGGACGGATCCAAACTTAACAATGATAGACAGGTGGCTTGCCCTATGACTGCAAACCAAAGGAAGCCACCCTTTTGCAGAATCCCTGAAACTTTGGAATGTATGCAAACACTTAATAGAAAGAAAATAAAGTTGGAGCTCCTGGTACAGACGTACCAGCACACTTCCCCTTATGTCCCTTTATCTTCTTTACATGGAGACCTTGCTGAGAAATGTTATCACGTTTTGTAGACTTCCATTCTCAGTATTTATTTCTTCTAATATAAATCATGAACAAAGATCTGGGCAAATATACATTTGGATTCAGGCTGTTTTGGAGGAACCCTGTCTCCATTTGGACATCTCCCAAATCCGTCCAAATCATCCCAGTTTAGTTTAGGATCCAGCGACATCCTAAGCAAACGCCAAATAGAAATATTCTATTCACTCACACCCCATCTGCTGCTTGTGTAGCTTCGGGAACCTAGCCTCGATGCTCTCTCCGTGTAAATGTAGCTAATGATGAATGCCTTCATTGGCGTTAACCTTCTGCCTAATGTTTCCAGCACATAAATATTGTTCTAGAAAAACACAAGACAAAGCACACAAGTGTCTAGCGGATGGCTTCTGGCCGCATCCTGGGGAAAATAAATGTCAACCGTTGACATTCATTTCATCAGAGGGAGCAATTTTTGGAGAGAAAACTACCCGTTTACCTGCCATTCCTGAATGTTATATGCACAAACACAACTACACTCTCATAGCTAGATGTGGGTTTCAATTAAATCTTTGAAATTGACTATTTAGCCATTTATAAGAATATGGTGATGATTGACTTAATTTATATCTTGCATTTTTTCCAAGCCTGGGGTTCAAGGAGGTTTACACATTTGAAAGGCTGCAATTAAAACATGCAAGAAGTTAACATTAAAACTGAATTAAACTATTAAGCATATTAAAAACATAGGCCGTTGAGTCTAGGTTGTGTTAATGTACACATATTTCACTATATAGTATAGGTGCTAACAAATTATCCCAGAGAAATGCAAAGACGCAATAGTACTCAATGTGCACCGGGCTCTACCAATGCACATCTGCACTTCCTAGCTGGTGTCTTGATGTGCATTGGGCTCTACTGAGCCAAATTGGTGGTCCTTAAACATTGTCCAGATGGGAATCAGGAGGTCCATATATGCAATGGGCTTCAATTGTGCATTGACCACTTGTGCATCAATAGGCCAAGTATAAATATGTGAGAGAAAGTCATAGGGAGGAGGGAGCAAGCTAGTTTTCTGCTGCCCTAGAGACTAGGACACAAACAATGGCTTCAAACTACAGGAAAGGAGGTTCCACCTGAACATTAGGAAGAACTTCCTGACTGTGAGAGCTGTTCTACAGTGGAACTCTCTGCCCCAGAGTGTGGTGGAGGCTCCTTCTTTGGAGGCTTTAAAACAGAGTCTGGGTGGCCATCTGTCAGGGGTTCTTTGAATGTGCTCTTCCTGCTTCTTGGCAGGGGGTTGGACTGGATGGCCCATGAGGTCTCATCCAACTCTATGATTCTATACATGCAATGGTCACTTCACTGGCTCCTCTATCAGGGAATGTCATAAGGGCTCCTTGCTGAGTATGCACATTGTAGAACTGCTTCATTCAGTTCCCTGCAGGTGTAAGCCCACTTATGTAGACAAAGTCCAATACGGAATTCTAGCCGTATATATTAAAATAAGATTTTTGAAAGTTAAATACCACTTAGAAGGATACAGTCATTTATGCCTTTTCCTACAAAGCCTTCAATTCTAAGAGCCTGGTCAAAGGAAACATTTTCAGTTGCTGATAGAAGAATACAAGAAGGGAGGCATTCAAGCTTTCTAGGAAAGGAGTTCCAGAACCCAAGGGCAGCCATTGAGATAGCTTTCCATCATTGTGCTGATGAAGGCTTTCATGGCTGGAATCACTGGTTTGCTGTGGGTTTTCCAGGCTATATGGCCATATTCTCTTCTGATGTTTTGCCCACATCTACAGCAGGCATCCTCCATTCTGTTGAAATTGTTACATGCTTGTGAATTTCAACAGCTTCTTGGTGTAGTCTGCACAGCCTACACATGTCAGTCTACACAGAGAAGATATTGAAATCCACAAGCATGTGGACAATTTCAACAGAAAGGAGGAAACTATGAAAATGGACAAAATTTGGCTACCAGTATTTTAAAAAAACTCTAAAATCAGGACAGTAAATAAAGAGCAACACTCAAACAGAGGAATTCCAGAGAGGAAAAGATTAGGACAAGCTAACACCTTCCAACAAAGGATTACCCCAGGCAACAAGCAACCAGGCTTTGAAGCTGCAAGGCTGTTCAATTCTAATCAAAGTGGCCAATTGCAATATTCACACTTGCCTTGAGCAGACAAGAGTTCTTTCACCTACCCTGGATTCCACAGATATATAAGCCTCACTTGCCTAGATTCCAGCAGGCCTCACAACCATAGATGTAGGCAAAATGCCAGGAAAGAATGCTTCTAGAACATGGCCATACAGACCAGAAAACTCACAATAACTCACTTTCCTTCATTTTCCATCAACTCTACCTGTGAATGTGATAGGGCTTAGAAAAGAACCTTTCCTATGGAGCTCAGTGGTCTTGGCAGGCTCATGTGGGGAGATGTGATCTGTCATATAGTCTGGACCAATGCCATATATACCTCTTGCCATCTCCATTTCAGATTTACGCTCACAGAGGCTGTATTTACGCTCATATGGCTAAAGTGTAGTTACTTTTACATCTGGCCAGATCAAGGCCAATGAGAATGGCTCTCAAGATATACTATACCATCTTGAATGCAATCTTGTCTGATTTTGGAAGCAGGTCTAGCCCTGGTTAGAATAATATAATTAAGAGAGATCCATCCAACCCCATTCTGCCATGTAGGACTGCACATGGAGTCCCTTTTTTCAAACCTCCCAAGAAGGAGAATCCACCATCCTTCAAGACAGTGTATGCCAATGTCAAAGAGCTTTTACTGTCAGGAATGATGCGGTGGAATTCTTTTCCTGTAGTTTGTACTTGGATCGATGGTACTCAAAGAAAACCTGAAACTTTGGAGACCTATTGCTGCCAGTTAGAGCATACCCTCCAATATGATTAAATATATTAAAAACCAAGGCAAAAGCAACCAGCCAAAATCAGAGTGTGCTTAAAATGGCAAAAGTTATTAATGAGGAAGAATAAACATGCTAGGACTTGCTGAAGTAATTTGCTTTTGCCTGGGCCTACTGGGAAGGGCAAGATTCCACCCCTTCTTCCCCTCTCTACCTGATGAGTAAATTAAGTGTAAACTATTTGTGTATTTTGAACTTAGCTTGTAGGAATGGAAGTACTATCTGGATAAATGGGAAAGGTGGGAGGAGGAGGAAAAAGTAGCTGAAAAAGTGGTACGACAGAAAAGGAAGCAAGACCATCCCTGTCAAATTGGGCCAGTTGCAGAATATTTCAAACTTAACAGAACTGGTTTAGAAGGCAGAATGGTCTCACTCAGAATGAGGCAGCTTTTTGTGTTCCTATGCAATAAGAAGATACCCCTCTCTTTTAATCCTAGACAAAGCAGAAGAAGACAATCTGGCAGCCAAGGAAGAGAGATCTGAAAGTGAAGGGCAAGTCTCCAGCGTTAGCGAAAAGGTCGATTCGCTTCATGAAGGGGCAACAGAGGAGGAAGAAGAAGAGGAGGAGGAAGAGGAAGAGGAAGAAGCAGGGGAGGAGGAATGTGAGAAGGAGATAATCATCCAGACGGAAGATGCCGAGGAAGTCATTGAGCTGACCAGTGAACGGAGCAGTGATTTGTGCCTGGAACATCGAGACGGTGAGGTGAGCTGTGAGGAATCATTAAAACTGCAAAAAGAAGAGGAGGAGGAAGAAGACGAAGAAGATGAAGATGAAGAGGAGGAGGAAGAGGAGGAGGAAGAGGAGCACGAAGAGGAGCATGAAGAGGAGGAGGAAGAGGAGGAGGAGGAAGATTATGAAGATGAGGAGGAGGAGGAAGAGGAGGAGGAAAGTGCAACTGAAATGGTCTCTGAAGAAGTTCCTCATACATCTCAGGACTCCCCCAAAACACACTGTGAAGGACCGACTGTCAGTCCCAAGCCGGAGTATTCTGTAATTGTGGAAGTGAGGTCAGACGATGACAAGGATGATGATTCTCATTCCCAGAAATCCACTGTGACGGATGAATCGGAAATGTACGACATGATGACCCGGGGGAATCTGGGGCTTTTGGAACAGGCCATTGCGCTGAAAGCGGAACAAGTGAAGATGGTGAAGGAGCCTGGCCAGCAACTGATGGGAGAGCATGTGAAGCATTACCAGGTTGAGGAGAAGCAGAACAAAGCCCTGGACTCCATCAGGAAGAGCTACTACAGCAAAGGTAAGTGAAGACTTTGTCCTAAGTACCTGAGAGTAGGAAGGGCCTGGGAGCCACAACCAGATCTCAAAATCTGGACCTGAATCTTCAGTTTTCAGGGAACATCTCCAAGCTGCAAATTCTCCATTGCTGGCAGTTCAGCTCCAGAGAAAACGGAAAGGGGTGTGTAGTAATCACCAGCTCAGATAGTAGAACACAACAGCATACCATTGGGTAGGTTTAATTAATTTTCAAAATGCAGAAGTTTGGCCTCTACACTTCCCCAGGAGCTCCACATATTTGAAAAAAGCACCCAAACATCAGAATAGTAAAAAAATAGGGAGACAGCTAATGGAGATGACCTCAATCTCCTAACTAGCATCCATCTGGAACATTGGCCAGTCTTCTTGTATCAGTTGTATTATTTATATCCTGCTTTATCTCTCCATATGGAGACTCAAAGCGGCTCACAATCAAAAACATTACAACTTAAAATATAACAATATACAATAATAAAACAGTATATTATATATTATATTTTATCAGTAGTAATTATATTTATTATATTAGTATTACTATATTACAATATTATTATATTGCAATACTAGCCATCCCCTGCCACGTGTTGCCGTGGCCCACATGGGGGTTCTGTGTGGGAGGTTTGGCCCAATTCTATCGCTGATGGGGTTCAGAATGCTCTGTGATTGTAGGTGAACTATAAATCCCAGCAACTACAACTCCCAAATGTCAAGATTCTATTTCTCCCAAACTCCACCAGTGTTCACATTTGGGCATATTGAGTATTCGTGTAGAGTTTGGTCCAGATCCATTATTGTTTGAGTCCACAGTGCTCTCTGGATGTAAGTGAACTACAACTCCAAAACCAAAGGACACTGCCCACCAAATCCTTCCAGTATTTTCTGTTGGTCATGGGAGAACTGTGTGCCGAGTTTGGTTCAATTCTATCATTGGTGGGGTTCAGAATGCTCTTTGATTGTAGGTGAACTATAAATCCCAGCAATTACAACTTCCAAATGACAAAAGCTAAAAAGTTTGAGTGAAGGACATACATTGGGTTGTTAGGTCTGCGCTGTCCAAATTTGGTGTCAATTGGCCCACTGGTTTTTGAGTTCTGTTAATACCACAAACGAACATTACATTTTTATTTATATAGATTATTAGTATTATATATTATTACATTATAGTATTATTATCAATATTATATGTATATATATAATATAATATATTATTAGCGTTGCATAATATTAGTATTATATAGAGTCTCGCTTATCCAACCTTCGCTCATCCAATGTTCTGTATTAGCCAACGCAGTTTGCCTCCTGCCCACAGCTGTTTCAATACATTGCAATGTTTTGGTGCTACATTCGTAAATACTGTAATTACTACATAATGTTACCATGTATTGAACTGCTTTTCCTGTTGATTTGTTGTAAAACATGATGTTTTGGTGCTTAATTTGTAAAATCATAATGTAATTTGACATTTAATAGCCTTTTCCTTAATCCCTCCTTATTATCCAACATTTTTGCTTATCCAACGTTATGTCGGCCCATTTATGTTGGATAAGCGGCACTCTACTGTATTACTATATTGTACTATATGACTATACTGCAATATTATTAGTAATGTTATATGTAATAGTTTGATATTACATTATTAATAAAATTACATGTCACACAGTTCTGCACTCTGGCAAGAATAATTTATATAAGGAAGTATGCAATGCCATTTCACATATACAAAAGAACTATCATTATTTCAATAAGCACTGAATAACATTAGATCCAGGCCTTTCTGTTTGGGTCCATAAAGCTGCAAATGTGCCTATCCTGTTCCCCTAGAAAACTCCATGACTCTTTCAGAGACTTGCCAATGAAATGCCATCTAAAAGAACAGAGGAATTCCATCTAAAAGAACAAACCAATTCAATGTATTGGATCTTCCCTGGAGACTATCCTTGTGATGAGTTTGCAGGGAAACAAGGAGGATTTCAATCTGTGTTGTTGACTATCTCTGGTGAAATGGTGCTTGCCTCTGTTTGGCCCATGGTTTTCATTCTGCGACATCTTCTCCACTTCTCTCCAGATCCATCGAGACCAGAGAAGCGTGAGATCAAATGCCCAACTCCCGGCTGTGATGGGACGGGTCATGTGACAGGGCTTTACCCTCACCATCGCAGTTTGTCCGGCTGTCCGCACAAAGACAGGATCCCTCCAGAGAGTAAGAAGGGTTTGGTGGGACAACTCACACAACACAACTAGGCTGCGAAAGGCGTATCTACACTGTAGAATTAATCCAGTTTGACACCACTTTAACAGTGATGGCCCAATGCTATGGAATCATGGGAGTTGCAGTTTGACAAGGTCTTTAACCTTCTCTGTCAAAGAGTGTTGTTGCTTCATCAGACTACAAATCCTAGGATTGCAAAGCAGAAGTGTCAAACTGAATTCATTCTACAGTGTAAATGCACACTAAGAGCTCCTGCTGTTGAAGCTACTTCGAGGAAATAATACCAGGATCCTTTTGGTGTTCAGTGCAAGTGTAAACTCCCCTACAACTGGATCTGATGCATAGTGTCCATTTTCTATTCAGGTTCATGGAAACAGAGTTGCACCAACCATGGCATTCTCAACCCGTGCTGAGCTGTCTGTCTCTGCTCAAAGTGGCCAAGAACTTTTCCAGCTTTGTATTTAGTTGCATACTGTGGTGCATTCAGTTGTGTGCTGAGTTGCACAATATTCCCATTCACCCTAAGGGTTGCATGACACAATCAGTCTGTCATCCCATGTAAAGAGTTTTACACCACACAACTTTAAGATTCCATCTGGACATGAGGAAGAACTTCCTGACTGTGAGAGCCGTTCAGCAGTGGAACTCTCTGCCCCGGAGTGTGGTGGAGGCTCCTTCTTCGGAAGCTTTTAAACAGAGGCTGGATGGCCATCTGTCAGGGGTGATTTGAACGCAATATTCCTGCTTCTTGGCAAGGGGTTGGACTGGATGACCCATGAGGTCTCTTCCAACTCTTTGATTATATGATTCTATATTTAAGATAGGATCTTGGCTAATATTTTGTTGGTAGATTTGCAGCCAATTTGGTGTCATGATGTGAGTGTTGGACAACAGATTTGGGGACAAGGATTCAGTTCCCCACCTAGCCATAGCAACTCACTGGATGGCCTCTGCCTCAAAGGAAAACAATCACAAACCGCTCTGGACATATCTTACCAAGAGAAAACCCCATCATAGGGTTGCCTTAGACCAGCATAACACATTGAAGGAACGCACTAGTGACAAAGATTTGGAGCTCAGACACTCGTGAAAATGGGACACTCCAGGTAAAGCATGGTATATGTGAAAGCAAAGAGGAGGAGGAAAGCAGCTAGTTCAGCAAACCAAGGAGGCTATATAATCTGATAGAAACCCACAAGCATTGTCTTCAGACAGTCCCAGATCTGAGGAGTCATCTGGTTGAGAAGTAGAGACAGAGAACATCAAGGACCCCATGACCTTGAGTCTGCAAGACTTGATCAAGGGCTAGTGAAGATGGGTAGACTTGGGGCCCTTCCAGAAAGGCCTTATATCCCAGATTATCTGGCAGAATGGACTCATATAATCCAGTTTAAAGCAGAAAACCTGGGATACAGGACCTGTCTGGAAGAGCCCTTGGAGGCCTTTCATTCATAGGGTTGCCATAAGTCAAAGTTGACTTGAAGGTGGTTGACAACAAGAAACAAAACAGTTGTTGCAGAATCCCAGCCATCATCACTAGGTTGCTGTGAGTTTTCTCTCCTGACGTTTCGCCTGTATCTATGGCAGGCATCCTAAGAGGTTGTGAGGTCTGTTGAAAACTAGGAAAGTGGGGTTTATATATTTGTGTAATGTCCAGGGTGGGACAAAGAACTCTTGTCTGCTGGAGCTAGGTGTGAATGTTTCAACTGACCACCTTGATTAGCATTTGATGGCCTGGCAGTGCCTGGGGCAATCTTTTGTGGAGAGGTGATAAGATGACCCTGATAGTTTTTCCTTTGTTGTTTTGCTGTTGTCTGCTTGAGGCAGGTGTGAATGTTGCAATTGGCCACCTTGATTATCATTGAATAGCCTTGCAGCTTCAAAGCCTGGATGATTGCTGCCTGGGGGGATCCTTTGCTTGGAGGTGTTAGCTGACCCTGTTTAATTCTTGTCTGGAATTCCCCTGATTTTAGGGTGTTGTTTTTTTTATTTAGTGTCCTGATTTTAAAGTCACTCGAACAACTACCACTCTGTGTACTCTGTGTAGAAAACACAGAGAAGCCACTGAAATCCACAAGTATGTGGACAATTCCAACAGAAAGGAGGAAGCTATGAAAATGAACAAAATCTGTCTACCATTTTTTAATAAATCAGGACAGTGAATAAAGAACAAGACTCAAAAAGCAGGGGAATTCCAGACAAGTATCAATCAGGGCTAGCTAATGTTTCTCAACAAAGGATTCCCCCAGGGAGCAACCAGCAAGGCTTGGAAGCTGCAAGGCCATTAAATGCTAATCAAGGTGGCCAGTTGCAACATTCACACCTGCCTCAAGCAGACAAGAGTTCTTTCTCCCACCCTGGACATCATTCCACAGATATATAAAACTCACTAGCTTAGTTTTCAACAGACCTCACAACCTCTGAGGATGCCTGCCGTAGATGTGGGAGAAACATCAGGAGAGAATGCTTCTGGAACATGGCCATACAGCCTTGAAAACTCACAGTGATTCCAGCCATGAAAGCCTTCGACAACACATCATTGCTAGCCTTTACAAGAACTTTTAAAAATCAGACTAGTCCGTACTAGTCTGCCCCCAACAATTAAACATAGGTACTTATAGCTCAGAAATACATGTTAAAGCAGCCTCACAAGCCTTGCTGTGTGTGCTTATGCCAATAATGCAAAATACTGCCTTATCAGTTCATTTCAAAGGGGGCAGACCTGAGAGAAACCGCAAGACAAGGGGGCATCTTGTTATTTTCTCTCATGTGTGGTGTGTTTTTTTTTTTAAAAAAAAAATCAAATCAAATAAAAATGCTAGCCATGTACTTTCTGAGAAGAAGTTAAACACATCATTTTCTTTGGTTGTAAGGTCATCGCCACAGGAGGCAGCAGGATTAAAATCATTTTTTTAAAATTAAAAAAACCCATCAAAGTCTCTGGATAAAAGCAAATACAATTCCAATCACATAAAACTACCTGAAAGAGATGGGCAGGAAAAATGTAATGAAGTTGCAAAGGGGGGAAATTCATTTTGAAAGATCACTTAAAAATAAACATATGTATTCTCTCTTTCTACAAGGATATCAGAACTGCTCATATCCAGCTAATGTTCTCCACTGAATCATCTGAACTCCAGTGGTAGAAATAGCATTGTTGCCACTTAGCAAGGATTGCGCTATTTGCAATAGTGGTCAATTGATATTTGAGCAATTGACAATGGGTGCGTCTACACTTGTGCATTTGGAGTGCTGGTGAGCTCGCGCCCCTTGATTTGTTCAATGCTATCGAATCCTGGGATTTCTCATTGGTGAGGTACCAGCAATTTTTTAGCTGAGAAGAATAAAGTTTGACGGCACCAAATTGGGAGGGATAGCCAATACTCCAGAGGACAGGAGCAGGATTCAAAACGATCTTGACAGATTAGAGAGATGGGCCAAAACTAACAAAATGAAGTTCAACAGTGACAAATGCAAGATACTCCACTTTGGCAGAAAAACGAAATGCAAAGATAAAGAATGGGGGACGCCTGGCTCGAGAGCAGTACGTGTGAAAAAGATCTTGGAGTCCTCGTGGACAACAAGTTAAACATGAGCCAACAATGTGATGTGGCGGCAAAAAAAGCCAATGGGATTTTGTCCTGCATCAATAGGAGCATAGTGTCTAGATCTAGGGAAGTCATGCTACCCCTCTATTCCGCTTTGGTTAGACCACACCTGGAATATTGTGTCCAATTCTGGGCACCACAATTCAAGAGAGATATTGACAAGCTGGAATGTGTCCAGAGGAGGGCGACTAAAATGATCAAGGGTCTGGAGAACAAGCCCTATGAGGAGCGGCTTAAGGAGCTGGGCATGTTTAGCCTGAAGAAGAGAAGGATGAGAGGAGATATGATAGCCATGTATAAATATGTGAGAGGAAGCCACAGGAGGAGGGAGCAAGCTTGTTTTCTGCTTCCCTGGAGACTAGGACGCGGAACAATGGCTTCAAACTACAAGAGAGGAGATTCCATCTGAACATTAGGAAGAACTTCCTGACTGTGAGAGCCGTTCAGCAGTGGAACTCTCTGCCCCGGAGTGTGGTGGAGGCTCCTTCTTTGGAAGCTTTTAAACAGGGGCTGGATGGTAATCTGTCAGGGGTGATTTAAATGCAACATTCCTGCTTCTTGGCAGGGGGTTGGACTGGATGGCCCATGAGGTCTCCTCCAACTCTTTGATTCTATTATTCTATGATTCTATGATTCTAAATACTTGTATACAACTCTCATGATTTCCTAGCATTGAGCCATGGCAGTTAGAGTGGTGTCAAACTGCATTAATTCTACAGTGGCATTGAATTTTTGCTTGATTTGTAAGCTGCCTTGAGTTCCCTCCCGGTTTGAGAAAGGAAGGGTAGAAATGAAGTAAATAAATAAATAATATCTTCTATGATGAGTTCAAAATGTGGAAGCAGGTAATGCTGAGATCATGAGATATGTTTTCTCTCCTTTAAAAAAATAATGTTGATTTTTTCACAATTTTTTTTCTCTTTTCCTTCTGCGTTGCAAAGTCCTGGCCATGCATGAGAATGTATTAAAATGTCCAACCCCTGGGTGCACCGGACAAGGCCATGTGAACAGTAACCGCAATACTCACCGAAGGTATGTGCGAATTCAGCAGAGGTGTTTCATGCCAACATCACTAAAGTACAGGTTGTATAAAACCAAATTAAATTAATTTTAATACCAAATAGAGTAAACTCATGGATTCCGTTGTGGAATGGTGAGTCAATACATTGGTAAAACCCACCAATTTATTGGTCAGCTCTAACCACTATCGCCACTGGGACAAACATAAATAGAAACCTTGAGATGTGGCTACTATCTTGTGGTTAAGGCATGGCCTGCAGGATTAAAAACAAAAGAGATGGAAAAGATTATGAAATATTGAGACCTACAGACTGAGATTCAGCACTTCTGGGAACAGAAAATATCTGTGACCCTTGGTGTGATAGGTACTCTGGGAGAAAGCTCAACTAGGGGTGCTGTTGAACTGAAGGTCAGCAGTTCAAATCCGCAAGACGGGGTGAGCTCTTGCTGTTAACCCAAGCTCCTGTCAACCTAGCAGTTCAAAAACATGCAAATGATTGTAGATAAATAGGTACCACTTAGGCGGGAGCAAGGCTAAAGATGCTTCAAACAGTCTTGCCAGCCACATGACCAAGGGGTAACAACTCAGGCTCCTCAGCTTGAAAATGGAGAAGAACACCTTCCCCAGAGCCAGAACTGAGCACCGCCTCCAGAAGCCAAAAATGAAAAAGAAGCATTTGCCTTCTCTGTGTTTGTCTGTCTCATTGTATGTGACTCTAAGGCATTGAGTGTTTGCCTCTGTCTGCTAACAGACGTAATCTGCTCTGAGTCCCCTAGGGGAGAAGGGCAGAATATAAATAAAGTGCATTATTATTATTTATTATTATTATTAAATAAGTCAGCAAAGCATCCAACTGCCATAAATAGGATCCTAACAGCAGAATTTCAAAAAGGGACACTACTTGGTCCATGCCACATTACGTGGCCAACACACATTTTGGTGCCTCTAATGTTGGGCCTGTTTCTGGGTATATTTGACTTGCTGATTCCAAAAATGGCACCAGTTTTCTCCTATCAGTTTTAGTTTTTGAGATACATAAAATGTGACATCTTCCACTTTTCACTCTGCTCACCCAAAAAAATCAAGATATTTTAATGTAATGTTTAAATTAATACATCTTACACATGAAGGAAACATATTAAAAATTAAAAGAAAAGTGTACTGCATGAAAATCTACTTATTTTATACCAAAAGCACAGAATTATGATAAAAACGGTTTGGGACCGGCCTATCTTCATGACTGCCTCTTCCCCTACGAACCCACATGATCTCTAAGATCTTCTGGGGAGGCTGTTCTCTCAATTCCACCTCCATCTCAGGCATGGTTGATGGGGACGAGAGAAAGGGCCTTCTCAGTCGTGGCCCCCTGGCTCTGGAATTCCCTTCCCAGGGAGATCCATCTAGCACCCTCCCTGTCCACTTTCCACAAGGACTTAAAAACCTGAATGTTCCACTGCGCCTTCGACTGGGCAATTCCTTGGATAGCTGGTCCCAGTTAGGACGCACACACAAATCTGTCATTAAGTACTTTACCACTGTTTTACGCCAGCCTTTATTGATAAATTTTAGTATCTTTAATACTGCTGTACGATACATGCACCTTACTCACTAGTTGTGTTCCTGATGTTTTGTTTTATATATTGTTTAATGTTGTTGTTTATTCTATTACTAGTCGTCCCCTGCCACACGTTGCTGTGGCCCACATGAGGGTTCTGTGTGGGAGGTTTGGCCCAATTCTATCATTGGTGGGATTCAGAATGCTCTGTGATTGTAGGCGAACTATAAATCCCAGCAACTACAACTCCCAAATGTCAAGATTCTATTTTGCCCAAACTCTACCAGTGTTCACATTTGGGCATATTGAGTATTCGTGTAGAGTTTGGTCCAGATCCATAATTATTTGAGTCCACAGTGATCTCTGGATGTAGGTCAACTACAACTCCAAAACCAAAGGACACTGCCCACCAAACCCTTCCAGTATTGGCTGTTGGTCATGGGAGAACTGTGTGCCAATTTGGTTCAATTCCATCATTGGTGGGGTTCAGAATGCTCTTTGATTGTAGGTGAACAATAAATCCCAGTTTCAGTAAATCATAGCATGAAAATATTACATAGTTCCAACCTCATCTGATGTTTTGCTATCTGTGACTTCTGTTACCTATAGTCAACTGAGTTTCAAAGATAGGAGTAGTGTAGGATTCAGTACTCAATAAAAATATTTCTTTAAATAATTCTTTTAAGAAAACTATAAATCCCAGCAACTACAACTCCCAAATGAAAAAACCATTTTTTTGAGTGAAGGACGTACATTGGCATATTGTGTCCAAATTTGGTGTCAATTCATCCCGTGGTTTTTGAGTTCTGTTAATCCCACAAATGAACATTACATTTTTATTTATATAGATATTGCTTCTGTTATTATTTTGTTGATGTGATTTTAATGTGTTATGTTTTAACTGTACTATTGGGCCTGGCCCAATAGAAGCCACCCCGAGTCCCTCGGGGAGATGGAGGCAGGGTATAAAAATAAAGTTATTATTATAATAAAAACTTTCCAGCTATTTGACGCATCATATCTAAGAAATCAGAGCTGATGTGGTCCATCCAATGCAATTTTCTAAATCAGTGCCGCTGCCCCCCAAAACAACCCCAAGAATAGGTCTAAAAACCAAGACACCAATTTTTATCGGACGGTGTTACCTTCTGATGCTGTCTCACTGATTTCTAGATTCTTGAGTTGTATCACGGATGGTCCAAAACTTAATTTAGTCCATGTAGTAGAATGTAAAACCAAGTTTACAGTAGTCTTGTTGTGTTGACTTCCTTGCTTCCGTACTTCCTATCGACCTTTCTCACTTCATTTTTCTATCCTTCCTTCCTTTCTTTCCTTCCAACCAACAGCTTATCCGGGTGCCCTATTGCAGCTGCTGAAAAGCTTGCCAAATCCCACGAAAAGCAGCAACCCTTGACGGGTGACCCTTCAAAGAATAACTCCAATTCTGATCGGATACTCAGGTTGGTCACTGAGGTCGAACAACATTGATCCCAAACTGCTGGTTTTCTTTCCCTATTTCTTCCAACAACAGACTCCCGCTGAAGAATTCTCAAAGTAGAAATAGTTTCCCTCCTTATATTCCACTACCAGCATGTCTTGTTCCTGCAAATGCTTTCCTTATTGCCAAATGTTAGAAAAACAGATGGTAAGAATTTAATTGATGCTTCTCATTAGGGCACGCAGGACAGGGAACGGCTTCTGGAGCATCAATTAATGTTGAAACAACAGGCCAAAGGGGTTTTAACAGTGCACCGAGCAGCATCCATACTGATTACATTGCAATGCAATCTGCTAGAGAATTACAGCTATTATATTGACATTGTGAGGCAGCGGGGCTGGAAAGCCACTGTCAAATGCTTCTCTTTCTGGTTCATGGTAACCCAAAACGCTCTGTCCTTTGAGCTTCTTACACTGTGATCCTTTAGAGGTGTGACATAGCCTGGATTAATAGTATGATGGCTTAAAATGCAGTGCAAGTGCCTTACCCCTGGATCTGATATTCACAGTTTCACTCAACCACACTCCAAAAGAAATATCCCCAGTCCAGAAGTGTTTGTGGGCCCCTCAAGATTCAATGCAATTCTATGGCATGCCTCTGGCCCAAGTATAGTCAAAATATAAGGTTCAGTATTATGGTTTCGGTATCAACAGTGGGTATTAGAATATATTTATTTATTTACAATATTTCTACCCCACCCTTCTCAACCCCTCAAGGGGGGGGGACTCAGAGTGGCTTTACACGGGCAACAATTCAATGCCGCAACAAATGTGACAAATATAACAGAAATATAACACAGTAAATAAAACAATAGATTAAAAACGGTGAAAACATTATCACAATCATGTAACCATTGCCACTATTATCACAATCATGTTGTCCAGTTCGAATGTGTCCAGAGGAGGGTGACTAAAATGATCAAGGGCCTGGAGAACAAGCCCTATGAGGAGCGGCTTAAGGAGCTGGGCATGTTTACCCTGAAGAAGAGAAGGCTGAGAAAAGATATGATAGCCATGTATAAATATGTGAAAGGAAGCCACAGGGAGGTGGGAGCAAGCTTATTTTCTGCTTCCTTGGAGACTAGGACATGAAAGAATGGTTTCAAACTACAAGAAAGGAGATTCCATCTGAACCTGAGGAAGAACTTCCTGACTGTGAGAGCCGTTCAGCAGTGGAACTCTCTGCCCCGGAGTGTGGTGGAGGCTCCTTCTTTGGAAGCTTTTAAACAGAGGCTGGATGGCCATCTGTCAGGGGTGATTTGAATGCAATATTCCTGCTTCTTGGCAGGGGGTTGGACTGGATGGCCCATGAGGTCTCTTCCAACTCTTTGATTCTATGACATTCAAAGTGCTGTCATGACTGCTGGCCAAAAGCCGGGTTCCAAAACCATGATTTCAGTTTCTTCCTGAAGGAGGGATGAAGCTGACCTGATCTTATGGGGGAGTGAATTCCACAGGCGGGGGGTCACCATTGAGAAGGCCCTGTCCCTCGTCCTTACATGGATACAGGGATTTTACTGTATGTTCTCTTTGCACCCACCCATCATCATCATTATCACCTGGGGTTATATCAGGTAGATGAGAAAAAAGAATCACTTGTAACAAACATTTGAGAATACAGGTTCCATTATTATAGGGATGTCCTATATACGAGAAACAGAAAGCTTCTCTCTTATAGGGCTGGCGGATGTCTTTATTACAAGGGGTCTCGCACTTGAAGACTGGAAACTTTTTCCTTTTACACAGGCCAAAAATCCAATATTTCAAAAAGCCAGAAATGTGTGCATTGTGTTATTCATGAATGAGGAGAATATGCTGGGTGTACAGAACAATAAGAAATAAGTCAACTGAAATCCATACTTTCAATTGGTATTTAGATAGAGCACAAACTCATTAATCGTTGCTTCCTAATGTTCAACCCTGCATGAATTTTGATCATCCTTCATTGATGTTTTGAAAATCTGACTACACTAGAATATGCTAAGGGCAAATAGAAAAGTGTGGTATGAACATAGTATATATGCATGCAATTATTTCCTTAATGTTGTTAATTGTAAATGATTGGATAATGCCTTTTACAACATATAGTAAATGTATATAAAATTTATAGAACAATGAACTTTTATCACGTAGATTTTATAAGAGGAGAGAGAGATCTAATTAAACCAACATATTCAATCGGAGAAACAAAATCATATGATGTGATAATAATAATAATAATAATCACCTGAACACAATCACAGTACAAAGTAGAATAACCCTTTTAATTACAATTAGAACTAATAGAGCCCTAATAAAGTGATATAGTCAGAGTGCAAGTCCATCAGAAAGCAAGGCAGAACATCCATCTGTTATAAATATAGGATATAATCTCCATGAGAGTTAGAACAAGGCATAAAGTCCATGGAAAGTCCTCACCTGGTCCACCAGATGTGATACCTTATTTCCCTGAAAATAAGACATACCTATAAAATGAGCCATAGCAAGATTTCTAAGCAGTTGTGCAATATAAGCCATACCCTGAAAATAAGACCTTGTGATAGGCATGGCTATGCAGTGTACAAGGTCGGCTCCTGGTCATTCTGTGCATGCTGCAAGCTGAGGGAGACATAGAAAATGAAAGTTAAAGTCTCCTTAGTGAAGTAAGAAGCAGGATTGTTGTAGGTTTTTTCGGGCTATATGGCCATGTTCTAGAGGCATTCTCTCCTGATGTTTCAGCTGCATCTATGGCAAGCATCCTCAGAATAGGAGTAGGATGCTCTGCTTTAGGTATTGTGTGTCCTCAGGGGAAAGAAGTAAAGGTGTGGGTGCTGTTTTACTCAGCACTGTTAGTCTCTCTCGCCCAACACCAACCAGCAACACTCTGTGGGTCTCTCTCACCCTCTATGCCATCGTGCCTGGGGGCTATAACTTTTAGTGAAAGAGACATAGATGTGACATCTTTTCCCCAGGGGATTGCTTCTTGCCTTCCTTTAAAGAACTGGAACTCCCAAGGACCAAAACACTGTAGATAACTCAAAATAGGTTTTATTGTCCACAAAGAGTTATCCCTTTAAGGCAATAAGCTGGAAGTTTCAAAGGGGTAAAGGAAATATACATTACAGTCTCTGGTTGTCTTGGGTCCAAGGAGATTTTGCAGCTGAGAACCTTTTCAAGGTTCCCTCTTTCTCAATGGCTGCAAATGCCTGAACATTCACAGCCCCAATCCAAATGGCCTATATTTGAAGACACGAAGCCTTCCTCTGGTGCCACAGGACTGGTTTGAAGGCGTCTGGGTCTCCTCAACGTTGTCCAGGGCAATCTGGGCATGAAATATGAGTCCCAAGGGTAAAAACCTTAGAATTGGTGATGAGAGGTAACTTAATTAAGGGCTTTAGAGCCAAGTCTCTTTCTCACATCTATCTGATAGAAAGTTTGATGGTAGCATGGAAAAGGAAAAGCTCTGCCCTCCTCCAGGAAGAGGTGGAGCCAAGCAATTGAGCTGAGGAAGCAATATAACTGGTGCAAACAACATTGATTGACAGCTATAAATAACCAATCAATCCAACTATACATTTACAAACTAGGCAAGTTTGGACATGTTATACAGTTTAAACCTTTGCACTTTAAAGTTCTACACACAGGTGGTGCCACTCGCGCCGTCACACCCTCCACAAACAACAGTAATGCTGCTGTTCCCCCGCACTGACCAGCAACAGTCTGTGGGCCTCTCTCACCTCACACAAACACCAAGGGATAGGGGAAAAGCTTCAGCAAGTAGTCTGCTACTGAGCCCAGAGAGATCATCCCATAAATGCAGATTGTTGTATCATACTTAATAAAAATAAGACATTCCCTGAAAATAAGCCATAGTGTGTCTATCTTCTGGAAGAAAAATAAATATAAGACAGTGTCTTATTTTTGGGGACACACAGTAGTAGTTATGACATAGAATGTCCTTGATTCTATTATGACTACAAAGTAGAATAATTCACCATGTTTTTATACAAAAGTAAGAGGGCATAGTGCTAATAGTTTCCCCATTTGATCCACATCATAACGGAGAGGTTCATGTTAGTTTTTGAAAGCAAAACTGCACCATACAATGAAGACACATGATCAGGTCTCCCAACTCATTTGGAAGGGACCATCTTTTCATCTGGTTCAACACCTTGCTATGCTGGAATCCAAAGCATTTAATAATATGGAGAATGGCAATCCACATTCAGTTGAATTTGCAGATCTGTACCAAGCAGTTCCAGAAGGCGCTCTGTAAATTATTTTGCTTCTAACAAAACTTTACAAAACAGAACTCACTTGTTGTCTTTCAAAACACGGATCAACCTGCCCACAGAATAGTTCTACCTAAGACTTTCCTCCATAAGAATTTTTCCACAGATGGAAGCAGATTAACAAAAACGTGCATTTTCTCTTCCCCTTCCTCAGGCCGATGTGCTTTGTGAAGCAACTGGAGGTGCCTCAGTATGGGAGCTACCGGCCCCATATGGTTCCCACCACGCCAAGGGCCAACTTGGCCAAGGAGCTGGAGAAGTACTCCAAGGTCACCTTCGATTATGCAAGTTTTGATGCTCAGGTTTTTGGCAAACGCATGCTTGCCCCAAAGATTCAGACTAGCGAAACCTCACCTAAAGCCTTTAAATGTAAGTTGGGGCTGGTCATGGACAGCAGTTTGGGAGGCCCTGAAGGGTGTCTTGTAATTCCTTGTGATTGTGACATTAAGTGTTATCTGTTTGGATTGCTCCGATTTCCCATTAGATCAAGTTTCCAGCAAGGGTCCACTAAATATTTCAGGGAGGTGCAGAAGCAAATGATCAGCCTTCCCATGTTGTTTATCTCAAATATGAGGAATTAGAGGCATGCTGCCTCTTCCTATTGGACTGTCTTGTTTGGCAGTCCTTGGTCAACAGTCTCATCTTCCATGAAAGTGTAACCCTTTTTTTAAAGAAACTCAACTGTATGCATTAAATCCCATGAGCCAACTATTACCTCAAGAATTACCTTTGTTTATATTCCAACTACATCTCCTGTTAATCAACTTAATTGAAACCCCTACATTCCAATACAATAAGGAGCAGATTAGATGCTGCCTGTAAATATATATATCCAGGAAATTTCTCAGGCACTGCCCAGACTGATACTAAGTTAAGCCAAAGTTTTTATTTGGTAGCACTATCATCCTGAGAAATTGTTTCACGTGAAGTCACATGCAAGCTTCACCAACAACAACACAGAAATTTTCCAAAAGAACAGAGACAAAAATTGACAATCAATGGTTTGTTGTAGGTTTATCAGGCTGTATGGCCATGTTCTAGAAGCATTCTCTCCTGGCATTTCACCTGCATACATGGCAGGCATCCTCAGAGGTTGTGAGGACCTCACAACCTCAAACCTCAAAAGTTCTGAGGATGCCTGCCATAGATGCAGGCAAAACGTCAGGAGAGAATACTTCTAGAACATGGCCATGTAGTCCAAAAAACCTACAACAACCCAGTGATTCCAGCCATAAAAGCCTTCAACAACACATTTACAATCAACTCTAAACTTCCATATGTGGGACCTCTACTTGAGTGTGAATATCACATTTTATCAGAAAGTTGTTGACAAATGAGATCCAAATTTTTGCTATGGTCTTTCTTAGATCCTATCAGATAACATACTAATTTGAGTGTTCCTGTGATCAGGTATGTCTACCTGTGTAACTTACATAGGGGTTGGACTGAATGGCCCATGTGGTCTCTTCAAACTCTGTGTTGAGTACCCTCGGGGAGATAGGGCAGAATATAAATAAAGTTTTATTATTGCTCCATGATTCTATAAATGGCAGACAAGCAGACAGCCTGTTATCCATTTATATTTTTAGTATCCTGATAAAACAGCTTAAGGGAGTGGTTGTATCAATTGGTAGAGCTGTTGGGAGAGAAGAGAGAAAGCGACGGAGGAGTAGTAATCCTTTTCCTATCAATATCCACTCTAAATTCTAGATACCTGTCCCTACAGCCACCACAAAGTCAGAAACAAAAGTTAGAAGGACAGCTTTAGACTCTTGCATTTGAGAGTCAAGCATGTCATTGTCTTTGCAGATCCATCTTCAGTTCTGTTTTTTATCATACTAGAATGTGATATAATATTGGTCAGTGGTTTTGCAAAAAGATGCCCATGTGAAACAGGGTGGGGAGTGGGAATAAAACCATTACCCCTCCAAATGAGTCCTCCCCCCTCACACACACACATACACACCTTGTCTAGATTTGACACTATCCTCCAGTCACCAAATTTCTATCACTGAAGAGAATGAACAGAATTTTCTTCTAGAATTCGTACGTGTTATGTTTCGCAAACCCTCGGTCAACTTTGCCATCTCCTTTTCTTTAGATGTCTCACTTGCATTTCTAAATGCTCACATGATGCCTTAGGTTACTGCAGTGCTGGAAATTTGGAGAATTTCACCAGGAGAGAGGGTAGAATCCTTATTGGAAGAAAATGCCCTTATTTCCCCCTCCCCTCCATAACGACATCCCTGAACAATTGTTCTATTGATGGAAAGCAAACTCAATGCTTTCCAAATGTGTGTGTGGGGTGCATTTTGTTTCCTTCGAGGCAGACATCAATTTGAAATCTACATGTTTTCATCCTGCCAGACACATTCCGGTGAATGTGGAAAGGAAAAAAGAACAAAGCAGTGAAGCTATCATTTGCCCCACACTCCTTTGAATTCTCAGAGGCATACAGCAATACAGTTTTAATGGAGAAGATTATAGTGTTCTGGGAACTTGATGGTGCACTCAGTTAGCGGGTAGACCTTTCACCTCCATATAGACCTGCTCATCAATCTCTTTCCCTCCCTCCACACCTACTCTCCAGCAGTTCAGCTCCTTCTTCCATCAGTTTACATGATAATTTCCAAGCTTGCTGGATTAGCCCAACAGGTCCATTCACACCAGTGTACCATTTCTCATGGTAGCCAAATGCATGCATCTAGGTAGTCCCACAAGCATGGCATGATAGTATTGCCCTCTTCTCAGCAAGTGAGGGCAATAGCTACCAGATCCATTGGAACTGCTTAGTTTAAAAGGATAGTAGTCCGATCCTTGTAGGATAGTTCAATTAAAGCTTGTGCACCAGCTGTGCCCGTACCTTGTGAAGTCTGACTTATTTATTTATTTATTTATTTATTTATTTATTTATTTCAGTTACTTTTACCCCGCCCTTCTCACCCCAGGGCGGCTTACAAAGGAAGGCACAATTCGATGCCTATATCAAATATACATACATACATAACAGCACTTAAACAGTTAACAAATTAAAATCATCAGTACATAACTATACACTAACACAATAGTAAACTAATCCTATGCTCAGCGCTCAGATTTCAGTAAATCCATTCCATTTCGTCAATTCCTGCTCATCATCAAGGTCTTTCTTTAGCTGCCAGAATGTCCGAATGCCCGGTCCCACATCCAGGTCTTCAATTTTTTTTCTAAAAGAAAAAAGGGAATTCGCCGATCTAATCTCCCCGGGGAGTGAGTTCCACAGGTGAGGGGCCACCACCGAGAAGGCCCTGCTCCTCGTCCCCACCAACCTCACTTGTGATAGAGGTGGGGTTGAGAGCAGGGCCTCCTCAGAAGATCTTAGACTCCGAGGTGGGACGTAGAGGGGGATCCGTTCAGACAGATACACTGGGCCGGAACCGTATAGGGTTTTGTAGGTCAAAACCAGCACTTTGAATTGTGCTCGGAATTGGATCGGCAGCCAGTGGAGCTGACACAACAGGGGGGTGGTGTGCTCCCTGTATGTCGCTCCAGTGAGCAATCTGGCTGCCTCTCGCTGGACTAGTTGGAGTTTCCGAGCAGTCTTCAAAGGCAACCCCACGTAGAGTGCGTTGCAGTAATCCAATCGGGATGTAACAAGAGCGTGGACCACCGTGGCCATGCCCTAGTTACCTCCAGGTTGGATTACTGTATCGCACTCTACATGGGGCTGCCTTTGAAAACAGCTCGGGAACTGAAGTTGGTCCAAAGATCTGCAGCCAGGTTGTTAACCAGAGCTAGCTACAGGGAGTGGTCAAGCCCCTCTTTAAGCAGCTCCACTGGCTTCCAGTTAGTTTCCGGTCCCAATTCAAGGTGCAGATTATTACCTACAAAGCTGTAAATGGTTCAGGACCTGCCTATCTCTGTGATTGCTTAATTCCCTACAAACCAGCTCATGCCTTAAGATCAGCCAGAGAGGTTCTTCTCTCGCTTCTGCTGCCATCTCAAGCACGGTTGATGCGGACGAAAGAGGGGATCTTCTTGGTGGTGTCCCCCCCCCCCCGGCTCTGAAACACCCTCCCTAAGGAGATTAGACAAGCACCCACCTTGACCACCTTCTGTAAGGATTTGAAAACTTCAATGTTCCGTTGTTCCTTTGATCAGGCAGCTCACTAGAGATCTAACTTGATCTAACCTTAGTTCCTGCACTTTAGGTTTGCCCACCCCCACAAATTTTGACGCTTTATGGCCAGAGGTATTCCCTCTAGATTTATACTTTTTGCACCTTCTCTCAGCTCTACTTAGGAATTTATTGCATTTATTTGAGCCTGGACCCAGCTCTGACTCTGTTTACAGCCATGTTCTTATTTTTATGATACTGTTGTTGTGCTTGTGTTATGTTTTTACTGATTGATTTAATGCTATTATTTTTATTGTGATTGGGCTTGTCCCCATGTAAGCCGCCCTGAGTCTCCTTGGGGAGATGGTGGCGGGGTATAAAAATAAAGTTTTTGTTGTTGTTGTTGTTGTTGCTATTATTATTATTATTATTATTATTATTATTATTATTATTATTATTCATAGCAGATACCTAAAATGGTTGTATGAACATCTTTACCACTGTACAGATGTTCATATAATCATTTTATGTATCTGCTATGAACTATCCTACAGAAATCTGACTACTGTCCTTTTAAACTAAGCAGTTCCAATGGATCTGGTAGCTATCCACATGAGACCCAAACCACTGCTGTATCCATACTGTGGAATTATATAAGTTTAACACCACATTGAGTGCCATGACTGTTATCCCTCTTTGTCTGAGAACGCTGGTGTCATAACTAACTACAAATCTCAGAGTTATATAGAATGGAGTGGTGGCAGTTAAATTGGTTTCAAATTGCTAAAAGTTTACAGTGTGGATGGACAGCTCACCAGAGGTTTGGAACTCACTATAGTGCTAACAGTCTGCATTGGACCCAATTGTACTGTCCACACTGTGCCCAAAGTGCAGGGTTGCTCTGGAGTTTTGTCCAAGCTCTGGAGCATTCCTCTGCTTTCCTTAGCTTGGGGCCAAACCAATTTAACCCACTTGACCCCCAATAAGGATCGGAAGTCTCTGGATGTCATGTAGAAATCCTAGCGAAATCTCATGGCCACTACTAGCTATTAAGCCCCTAAGACCAAGTAACCACCCCTCCTTCCAAAATGTGCATTTCATTCACTGTGAGCTTATGTCCCAGTTCCTTCTGTCACCCGTCCGCCCCCACTCTGCCTCCCCCGCCCCCAGACATGCACATGTAACTGGAACAAAAAGAGGCTCCTGACCTTGAAGCCAACTGTACTGGATTGAGTTATTTGCAAACGGCAACCATCATACATCACCCGCCCTGTGTTACTCCCTTTTTGCAGCCAAACCTTTTCCAAAGGCCTCTTCCCCTGGCCACAGTCCCTCCAGCAGTTACGTGAAGAGCACTTCATCTTCATCCACAGGCTTCGATTACTCCCATGATGCCGAAGCTGCACATATGGCTGCCACTGCCATTTTGAACCTCTCCACTCGCTGTTGGGAGATGCCTGAGAATCTCAGCACCAAGCAGCAAGATCTGCCTAGCAAGGTAAGCACATGAGTCATAAGATCTGTTGCACTCCAGGACAGGCATAATCCTCTGACTTTAAATACCTCACGCTGAATAGGAAAAAAACAATCTTTTTATTGAAGATAAGTAAAAAACAGTAAAGCAAAAAGCACTTTAAAGAAATGGGTAAATCCAATTAGGTAAGAAGGTAAGCAGGAACAAATTAGTCCAAGGTGGAGTTCAGCAAAGACCATAAAAGTCCGCACAACTCTAATATAATCCAGAAAATCAGGAATACATTGATCCAAGGCTTCGGTAAGCAATCATGACATCCAGAAATCAAAACCATGAAACAAGAAATATATTAGCATGAATCTTTAAAGCAAGGCTTCCATGAAGGACAAGAACTTGACATGATTCTAAACAATGCTTCACTGACTACACATCCCAAACTTGAGACTTTTATTCCCTTGTTAGCTAGGTCACTAGCAGTCAGAAATTGGTTTCTCTTTACTTGAGGCTTTGTTATTGTTTTCTGTCGAAGCCTGGCAGAGCGCCTAAGCCATTGCTCAGCTCTCCTATTTTGACTGCTCTCTTCTCGTCTATCTCGTGGCTCGTTATCTACTTGCTCATTAATTTTTGCACCTGGGCCAGGTGCCAAGCTATTTTCATGTTCTCTCTCATGAGAACACTTTGGTAACAATTCAGAAAGCACACCATCATCCCCACATCCCTCAGGGACATTATCATGGGAAACTACAGGGATCTCCTGGTCATTCTCTGCATCAGTATCACTGACCAAACCATTGCCGTCTTGAAACTCATCTTGAACCTCATTAACATCATTTCCCACATCCAAAGCACCCTGATCCCGAAAAACAATCACAGGCTGAACTCCAACAGGACTGTAGGACTGGAATGTACCCCAAATTCCCCATCAATGCTGTGATCCACATTTAAAGTGTCCCTGACAACTATCACGATTCAAGTGCTGTTATTGCATGCAATGTTGATATTTCACAGAATTATAGGAAGACACTGTAAGGGCCATCCAATCCAACCCCCACTTCCAATAGATCGGTGGTTCTCAACCTGGGGTCCCCAAATGTTTTGGCCTTCAACTCCCAGAAATCCTAACAGCTGGTAAACTGGCTGGGATTTCTAGGAGTTGTAGGCCAAAACACCTGGGTTCCCATAGGTTGAGAACCACTGCAATTGTGCAGGTAAAGCTGTACCAGGAGCTCCAATTTTTTTTGCTTTGCATTTAATGTTTGTTATAGTCCTAAGTTTCAGGGACTCTGCACATAGGTGGCTTCTTTTGGCTGCAATCATAGGACAAGCCACCTGTCAATTATAGTTAGGTTCCCTGGTCCTGCCCCCTTTTGGGGGTTTTGGAGGGAATAGGAGCCTTTTTGGGTCAGTCCACACAGAGAAGCTTTCCATGCAGGACATAATACCAAGAGCTCCTGTAGAAAGCTTTGTCTTCTACAGCTTGGCCGGGGTTATACAGCCCACAGCTTGGCCGAGGATCAGCCCACAGCTTGGCTGAGGATTTTGCAGCCTTACAGCTCCTTTGCTGAGGGACTTCAGCCAGCCATCACTGAAACCTGAACTCCTTTTTCCCCTGGAAGTCTACAAAGCTCTGCTTGGTAAGGGTCTCTCACGGAAGCCAGAAGTATTTGGTACCAGGTTTTGGGGCTCCACGCCAACAGAGGCAAAGACAGACTGCCCAGATTAGAAGTTAAGGATTTCCCCATTAGTTACAGTTATGAAGATAGTGCCTGTTCCCTGTGGACAAGATTGAGAAAGAGCCAATAGACTATTAAGAAAGCCTTGAAGTACCTGTTTGTTTTCATTAATAAAGAACTTTGTTGAACCTTTAAGCGTTCTAGGGACTGTGTTTTAAGGAAATCCAAGGGCCTTTAATCTGAGGCAGCCCCGGCGTCCCGTTGGGCACACAGAATTTATGTCCTGCCTACAGTCTGATGCACAAACCCAGCGTGCGACAGCACAGCAATAGATGGTCATCCAGTCTCTGTTTAAAAGATGCTTCTTGAATTATGGTGTCATGATGCAGAGGTGCCGAAGGAGTTAATTGCAAATGTGTAGTCAAGGTTGTTCTTTTAAATTTTTCAGTCAATGGACATTGAAGTGGATGAAAATGGGACTTTGGACTTGAGCATGAACAAGCACCGCAAACGAGAGAGCGCCTTCCCCAGCAGCAGCAGCTGCAGCAGTAGCCCCAGCATCAAATCCCCAGATGTGTCCCAACGCCAAAACAGCACCAGTGCCACAAGCAGCACCATGACCTCACCCCAGTCCAGCCACACATCCCGGCAGGACGAATGGGACGGCCCCATTGACTACACCAAACCAAACCGGCAGCGGGAAGAGGAGCCAGAAGAGGTAAATAACAACAGGGACAAAAGCGCACGGCTCTCACATTGCTTGCAATAAGGGGATGTCTTGCTCTCTGGATGTTATTGGACTGCAATAATGTACTAGAGGTTTCTAGAAAGGTCTTCTCTCCAGAAATCTCTAGATCTTTCAGCATGACTGGTGGAAGCTGAACATAGAGTCACACTGGAGGACCTAGAGCTGTGTTTCTCAACCTTCCTAATGTCGTGATCCCTTAATACAGTTCCTCATGATGTGGTGACCCCCAATCAAAAAATTATTTTCATTGCTACTTCATAACTATAATTGTTCTACTGTTATGAATTGTAATGTAAATATTTGATACGCAGGATGTATTTTTATTCACTGGACCAAATTTGGCACAAATACCCGCTACACCCAAATTTGAATACTGGTGAGGTTGGGGGGAAATTGATTTTGTCATTTGGGAGTTGTAGTTGCTGGAATTTATAGTTCACCCACAATCAAAGAGCATTTCGAACTCCACCAACGATGGAATTGAGCCAAACTTGGCACACAGAACTCCCATGACCAACAGAAAATACTGGAAGGGTTTGGTAGGCATTGACCTTGAATTTTGGAGTTATAGTATCCAGAGAGCATTGTGAACGCAAACAATGATAGATCTTGACCAAACTTGGCATAAATACTCAATATGCCCAAATGTGAACACTGGTGGAGTTTGGGGAAAATAGACCTTGACATTTGGGAGTTGTAGTTGCTGGGATTTATAGTTTACCTACAATCAAAGAGCATTCTGAACCACACCAATGATAGAATTCGGCCAAACTTTCCACCCAGAACACCCATGCCTTGAAAGGACTCACTAGCACAAGCCTCCCTCCAGCCTTGAACACTCTCCCTTGCCTGCACATGCACACCACAGTGCCATGCAGCAAGCACACCTGCTCTCTCCTCCCTGCTTGGAGTCTCAGAAATATCCCTCTCATTGGCTGAGAGCCCGATTGAGAGGCCAGGCAATCACAGCAGAGGAGGGCTTTAGGTGGGAGGATACGCCGTCTGTTTCCAAAAACGAAGAGAAGGACAGGTGGCGAGATCTGCCAAAAGGATTCCTTAGACCAGGGCTGTAGCCGGGGGGGGGGGAGTTTGAGGGGCTTCACACCTCCCCTCCCCAATTTTCAGGGTGGTCTGCGAGAAGGCCTTACTGGTACATTATTTAATGTTATGTTTATTCATATCATGATCTGATCACCATGCTCAATATATCCCATATGCATAGGGGTATTGGGATAATGATACAAAAGGTTTGCTAGGGCAGATCCTGAGCCCCCCCCCCAAACCAAACACAGCCCCCCCCCAATTAAACTCAGCCCCTCCTGAATCAAAATCCTGGCTACGGGCCTGACTTAGACCATCAGAAATATGTGTTTTCTGTTGGTCTATGGTGACCCCTTTGCAACCCCCCATGGATCCCAACCCCCAGGTTGAGAAACACTGACTTAGAGCAGGGGTCCACAAACTTTTTGAACAGAGGGCCAGGTCACAGTCCCTCAAACTGTTGGGAGGGCCAGATTATAATTTGAAAAAAATGAATGAATTCCTATGCACACTGCACATATCTTATTTGTAGTGCAAAAAAACACTTAAAACAATAATACAATAATTAAAATGAAGAACAATTAACAAATATAAACTTATTAGTATTTCAATGGGAAGTGTGGGCCTGCTTTTGGCTGATGAGATAGGATTGTTGTTGCTGTGTGCTTTCAAGTCGTTTCAGACTTAGGTTGACCCTGAGCGAGGGCCAGGTAAATGACCTTGGAGGACCGCATCCAGCCCCCGGGCCTTAGTTTGAGGACCCCTGACTTAGAGGATTCTAGAAAGAACATTTCCACTCAAATCCATGACTAACCAAATCCACAAAAGTCAAAACTGCAAATGTGGCGGGATCACTGTATTCATGTCTCGGCCATTCCCATGTGCTACACAAACCTTTGCTGGTTTCTTCCAGTCGGAGCCTGCAATGCGTTCCTTCGCCTCTTCCGAAGCAGATGACCAGGAACTCCCTGAAGAAAATTTTGAAGAAAGGAAGTATCCTGGGGAAATAACCTTAACCAACTTCAAGCTTAAATTCCTTTCCAAGGAGATCAAGAAAGAGCTGCTTACGTGAGTTTTGCTGCTTGGGCTATGAAGCCATGTAAGAAGCAACATACACGGGAAGGGGCAAAAAAAAAGAAGGGGCAATTTAGGGCTCTTCACATTGCACAGTTATGGCACTTTGATTACATTATAACTGCTACGACTGTATCCTGTGGAAACCTGGGATATGTAGTTTGGTGGTGCGCTGGAACCCTTGGGCAGGAGTTTCCAAGTATCCTTCACTTTCCCAGGACTTTTTAAGATGGAGCCATAGGAATTTAAGTGGCATTAAAGTGCTATGATTATGTAGTGTTTGAGAAAACCTGTTTATAAATTGGGTGTTTCTTTTTTAAAGTTTGTTGATGTTTCTTACTTCAAGAGTCTTATTTGATCTTCAGTGAAAAAAGCTTTAAAGGGAAACCTGATGTTCCAAATATTCCTGATTTTTAAGATGAAATGTTGCTTTGGGTGGTTTCCTATACCATTAATTATCTTGTGGAGGAGAGAATGCTCCACTTAAGTACCAGAATCTTAGGATTCATTAATCTGATTATAACTATAAAAGGATAACTTTCCCCTTAAGTATTTTTATGGTTAGTACAGCTTTTCCAGTGAAGCATTGTAATGGCAAACAGCTTTCACAAAACATGGTGAGAATCCAATAGGCTACTCCCAACTATAGTTTACCTATTCAGTCCATGTTTGATTAGTGAATCACTAATTACTGATTAGTGAATCAGACATAGGCAAATCTTATTGATACAGTGGGTCTATTCTGATTTGGAACTAACAATAGAATTGAGTTGCTGCAAGTTTTTCGGGCTGTATGGCCATGTTCCAGAAGCATTCTCTCCTGACGTTTCACCTGCATTATTTATTTATTTCTTGCACTTCTACCCCGCCCTTCTCAACCCCCGAGAGGGGACTCAGGGCAGCTTACAAAAGGCACAATTCGATGCCGGCACACAACAAGGTAAAAATAAACATATGTAAACAGTAATTAAAACAATTAAAACAGTCCATTATACATCACACATCAAAAACATCACATCATCAAAATCTATAAAACTAATCTAATGCACAGCGTTTGCCAACTCAGAGTTCATAAATTCAGTTCCACACAGTCAAGTCCATCAGTTGTCGTCACTAGTTCTTTGTCTATGTGCCAGATTACCCAAAGGCTTGGTCCCAGATCCATGTTATTAATTTCCTTCTAAATGAGAGGAGGGATGATGATGACCTAATTTCCCCAGGGAGCGAATTCCACAGGTGAGGATGCTTGCTATAGATTCAGGTGAAACATCAGGAGAGAATGCTTCTGGGACATGGCCATACAGCCCGAAAAACTTACAGCAACCCAATGATTCCGGCCATAAAAGCCTTCGACAACACAATAGGATTCTCAGGCCCCTTCTTCACTGCCTTATAAAATCCAAATTGTCTGCTTTGAACTGGATTATATGGCAGTGTAGACTCATATAATCCAGAACAGATAATGTGGGTTATCTGCTTTGATAATCTGGGTTGTATGGCAGTGTAGAAGGGCCCTCAGACATTCCTTGTAGTAGGATTCCCCATACCCTTTGGAAATGGGTTGTTGTAGGTTTCTTGGGCTATATGGGCATGGTCTAGAGGCATTCTCTCCTGACGTTTCACCTGCATCTTGCCATAGATGCAGGCAAAACATCAGGAGAGAATGCCTCTAGACCATGGCCATATAACCCAAAAAACCTACAACAACCCAGTGATTCCAGCCATGAAAGCCTTCGACAATACCCTTTGGAAATGTTTCCTATTATGCATCCTCTGCTAACCAACATCCCGGGATTGGCAACGGAAACCCCAGCAAAGGCTTTTAAGTTCCTGGTTTTGGACTGTAGATCACCCAAAGTAAGCTTGCTTGAATGAAAATTGCAAATTGCTCCTGTATTAAGTTGCCAGTCCAAGATCATGTCAGATGTTGACATTTCTGGGCCAAAACCTAAGACCTGTCGATTGCCCCTGATGTTTTATTAATAAACATTACTCATTCAGTTTCAACCACCGTTGTTACAGCTTGTCATTCAAACACTATCTCAGGAAAGGAGAGTGAAAAACATATTTTCAAGTTGGGAAATTAAAATGGAAAGGAGCTGTTCTCCGATGAAGATGAAGTAAGGGAATTATTCCTTCACACTTAAGGTGCTCTGTAGAATTAATGCACTTTAACAGCCATTGCTCAGTGCTGTGGAATCAGGGGAGTTGGGGTTTTAATGGGTCTTTAGCCTCCTCTGCCACAAAGTGCTGGTGCCACAGCAAACTACAAATCTCAGAATTTCATACCATTGAGCCATGATGGTTAAACAGCATTAATTCTATAGTAGAGAGGAAGGAAAAGGAATATTTAATCTAACTTCCGTATTTCTAATCAATGGAAAGCAAAATAGAAAGTGGATCTTAGTGTCACAATTACTGGGAATGAAATGGAAAGCTAACTAAGTTGGGACAATAGAACAATTTGCAAATTATGGCAATCTGATACTCTGCTAGCTAAGGGGGTAGAATCTAAGTTCACCAAAACTAGATTTGCGCCATCATCTCCAATCTGGAGATGGCCCATGAAAACTGGAATCTCAGAACCAGGATCTGATATCAGGAAGCTCCAATCCTGTATCCTCAGTGACTGTGTAGAGGAGGAAATCTCAACAGGTGTTTCTTGTTACCTGGTTGCATGACAAGCAACAACTACTGAATTCCCTCATCTACACAACCACTATACAATATAAGAGCCTTCTCCAGTTTTCACAAGCTGAATGGATCTCTGGGTTGTTGTAGGTTTTTTAGGGCTATATAGCCATGGTCTAGAGACATTCTCTCCTGACGTTTCACCTGCATCTATGGCAAGCATTCCCCGGAGGTAGTGAGGTCTGTTGGAACTAGGAAAAGGGTTTATATATATCTGTGGAATGACCAGGGTGAGAGTCCTTTTTCCTAGTTCCAACAGACCTCACTACCTATGAGGATGCTTGCCATAGATACAGGCGAAACGTCAGGAGAGAATGCCTCTTGACCATGGCCATATAGCCTGAAAAAACCTACAACAACCCAGTGATTCCGACCATGAAAGCCTTCAAAAATACATTGAATGGATCTCCTTTGTCCAATCCAGTGGCTGGCTCTTAAGGTAGGCTAAGGTGGAATTCATGCAAATTAACAGTAAGACTGCATGATGTAGTGGTTTGGGCATCAGACTGCCACTCTGGAGAATAGGGGTTTGTTGCTTGTTCAATCATGGAAACCCACTGACTACATCCACACTGTAGAATTATAGCACTTTGGCATCATTTTAACTGTCAAAGCTGCATCCTATGGAATCCTATGGTTTGTTGTGGCACCAGAGCTCTGACAGAGAAACATAAATATTTCATAAAACTGCAAATCCTGGAACTCCATAGCATTGAGTCTTGGCAGTTAAAGTGGTATCAAAATGCCATAATTCTGCAGTGTAGAAACAGTCCCTGTAAATGAATGTAATCTTGTGGTACAACAGTGGCACTCACTACTACTAGTATGGTGTGTATTGGTATCTAATAGAAATGTACATTTTGACTTATTTCATTTTCAGATGCAAAAACAAAAAGTCAGATGTTTTATCCATGTTGTCAACTGCCCCTACACAACGAGATTATGCAAGTGTTGGTGCATTTTTAATTATTTTTCACTTCTTGGGATGTGCACACACAGATAATATTTCTACCCAACTGCATACTGTAAGATCTCTGAACAATTTACAGTATAATCGTTGTGTTTGCAAAACATAGTTTTTGGCACAAAAACTTGCTGAGATCTTGCAGTATTTGCATAGGGTATATAGGCTAATTGGCAGCACTATCTGGTTAATATCCTATTGTGCAATGGAGAATGCAGACTGGCTGCAGTCTGGTACACGTCAACATAACGTAGTAGGTTCATATGTGGACCTATGCTCATCTGAGCCACACACCACCCTCTTAGAACACCTCTGAAGCCACCATCCCCCAACATGGCCTATCTGCTTTGCAGAGAGCAGGCAAAATCACAGAAGTTTTCAGCTTTGTTGTTAGCTGCCTTCAAGTCCACTTTAATTTATGACTGTCCCTATAGGTCACCATATCCCCAACAGTCCCACTCAGGTCTTGCAGACTCAGGTCCGCTGCTTCTCTGGTTGAGTCTATCCTTCTGGATTGTGATCATCCTCTTTTCCTACTGCCTTCTGCCTTACCAAGCATTATTGTATTTTCTAGTGAGCCATGTCTTCTCATGATATGGCCAAGGTATGACAGTCTCAGTTTAGCCATCTTGGCTTCAAGCAAACTTCAGGCATGATTTCCTTTAAGACCCATTTATTTGTCTGTCTAGCACTCCACGTTATCAGCAGAACTCTTCTCCAGCACCACATCTCAAGTGAGTTGATTTTCTTCCTATCAGCTTTTTTCACTGTCCACCTTTCGCAGCAATACACAGAAATGGGGAATACAATGGCATGGATCATCCTAACTTCAGGATCACACTAAGAAAAGCCCTTTCCTTGCAAAAAAGTCTGTTTCCAGGAATACAAAGGTCTTCACCTGCTAATTGAGGCCCAACAAAGAGGTAGCCAGACCTTTTCAGCTGAATGCTTTAGTGAGTCATGACATTATAAAGTTGAAATTATAGGGTCATCCAGTCCAACCCTTTGACATGCAGGAATCAAAGCACTTCTGACAGATAACCATCTGGTCTCTATTTAAAAACCACTGGAGGAGGAGACTTCACCACTCACCAATGCAGCAGTGGATTTCACTGCCAAATGCTTAGGTGGGTTTTTTTTTCCAGTTAGCAGGTTGGCTTCTTAAGGAAGCCTGTTGACTTCTCCTGGTGGTAATCTGGACCTTCCCAAACTCCAAGCAATCAAATCAGCAGAGCTGTGCTCCTGTCTATGGATGTAGGATCCACAATAGGAGGGGAGATAAAGAAGGCTATTTGCTGGCAGATTATTATCATCAGAGAAACAGCACAGAAGGCAAAGTGTTGTTCTCCAAGCACCATGGTTTTGATCCAAATCACACAGTCCCACATGCCATTGACAGCTGGTGCATCACCATCCATATCACTAGAGTGATAAAGCCACACTGCCTTTAAAATTTAGTGGCCAGTTGAGATGCTGAATCTAAGTTGGGATTCTGGGACTTTGGGTATGTCCTTTAACATATGGACCAAGCTCTGGACCAAATACATTTCTCCACTTCCATCAGAGCCACCAGCCTCCATTTCATTCTGTTTAACTCAGATCATATGCTACCTGAACAATTTCTGACACACATTTTTCAAATTCCATCGGAGTTATTAAAACCAGATTCCTTATCTGTGGGATCCCTTGATCAGAAGTAACCCACACAAAAAAGAGAAGGAACAACTAATAGTGCTTAGCAGAGGTCTGCTTGGAGTAGAAAAGCAAAATGAGTGGAAAGGTTGAGTTTCCTAAGACATGAGTAAAAATGTTATCTCATATTGCATCAGATCGCTGGAGCCTGAATTTTGTTTAATAATAGCTTCCCCATAAGCCAGCTGGAAATCTTTCCAACCTTGCTACTTGAGACTATATTGTATGGGAACAGAGTTATGGGAAATTGAGCCCAAAGGCTTCTACATGCCAGTCAAATTCCTAGCCCTTGAAAATGAATTTCCTTTCCCAGTAATTTCAGGAGATATTTGAAGACCAGGCTTGGGATGTCAAGGATCCAGCTTTGTTCAAAGAAATGTATTTCTGTCAAGTACTCTGACATCACTCATATGCATCCAAATGCTCCAGATTTCATCATCCTGAGCAATGGGTACAATTGGTCCTCTGTATCCACAGATTCTGCATCCACAGATTCAACCATCTATGGCTGTAAAATATTCAAAATCAATTTCAAAAAGGCAAATCTTGATTTTGCCATTTTATATAAAGGACACCACTTTACGACATCATTGTATATAATGGTACTTGAGCATCCATGGATTTTGGCATCCACGGCAGTTACTGGAACCAAACCCCAGTGGATACCAAGTGCCCAATGTATTCTTCTCCCAGTCCTATATTTCATAGCGCTATGCTTTAATTTTACATCAACTCTTGGTTATATAGGCAACTGCCAGGAGAAATGTTGGACTTGCTCATCATCACATCTCATGTACATGACTATAGTGACTGGCTATAAATAATTCAGATAATAATTCAGTGTCCCAGAGGCACAAATTTGTTTGCTTCCGAAGACTGCACTTAGCTGTAAAACCCGGTGGAAACCAGCAAGCAAAAAAAAAGCAAATACAGCAGATATTTCTGTTTCCAAAGAGATTACTCACTACACTTCTCTACTTTTGTCCTGGAGTTTCTGTATAATAAACGATTTAAATCCTGTAAACTGCAAACAAATTAAAGGTCTTGAATATTAGAGGCATTGCTAAAATGGACAATTTTACTTCAGTGAATTTTTAAAGATGGTACAGTTTTTATTGTCTCCATTTGTAGCTTTCAGATTGCATTGTTGTAATGTTCTAAAAGGTCACTGCAAAGATGAGATCCAAATGATTTTCTGATTTGAATATTTGTGGTAAAGGTTGTTGATTTATTTTCCTTCTTAATTTATAATTGGGGTGGGGGGGGGGGCGTCATAGGATTGAGTAGCTTTTGGAGAATGTTTTTAGAAATCCAAGAAAAGAAGGTGAAAAGCAAACCCTTTTGATAAATTCCAAAAGTTCCAACGGAAGGAATTCTGGGTTGTTGTAGGTTTTTCTGGGCTATATGGCCATGTTCTAGAGGCATTTTCTCCTGACGTTTCGCCTGCATCTATGGCAAGCATCCTCAGAGGTAGTGAGGATGCTTGCCATAGATGCAGGCGAAATGTCAGGAGAAAATGCCTCTAGAACATGGCCATATAGCCCGGAAAAACCTACAACAACCCAGTGATTCTGGCCATGAAAGCCTTCAACAATACATTGAACATCTCTACGGGAAGGAATTCTTTTTTAAAAATAATAATTGGCTATCTGAAGGTCAAGTATCCTTTATCCAAAATGCCAGATTCCAGAATTGTTCCATATTTCAGATTTTAGAATACTTACATATGCATAATGCAATATTTTAGGCCCCTTCTACACCATCATATAATCTAGATTATCAAAACAGATAATCCACACTAACTGTTTTGAACTGGATTATATGAGCCTACATTGCCATTTAATTCAGTTCAAAGATGATATGGATTTTATATGGCAGTGTAGAATGGACCTTAGATACGGAAGCCGAGTCTAAATCCAAAATTCATTTGTGTTTCATATTTACACATTGCTGGAAGGTAGTTTTATAACACATTCATTTTCATAATGTTGTGCATGAAACAGAGCTTGTGTACACTGAACCGCCAGAAAGCAAAGGATTCACTATCTCAGCTATCCATATAGACAATGTTGGATGATATTGGCATTCTGGATAAGGGGTGCTTGATCTGTATTGATGTATTAAGGCAAGCCACTCACATCAGTTGGCTTTAGCTACTGCCCCTTGCCAAATAACTAAAGACGTGGCTCACCATTTCATTTCAAGCATGCTTTTTGATCCTTACGATAACATAGATCAGCTACCTCTACTAGAGTGCAATGTAGAACTTCCAACTCCCAGGGTGAATCTATACTGCAGAATTAATGCAGTTTGGTACCACTTTAATTGCTGTGGCAATATTCTATGGAATCATGGGAGTTGTCAAATTTTGCTGTTGCTTTTTCAAAGAGTGGTGGTGCCTCACCAAACTACAAATCCCAGGATTCCACAGCCTTGAACCATGGCAGTTAAAGTGAAATCAAAATGCATTAACACTACAGTGTAGCGGATCCCCAGTGACATCGCAGAAGGAAGGGGAGTTTTTTATACAATCACAATCAAGGTGGAGTCTGGATTATACAACAGAAGATGCTTCTCTTGGAAAAAGACCAGATGTGCTTATGCATTTAGCTTCCCTCGAGCTTCATTACTCCTTCCAAGCTACCGCTCCCCCACTTTCCCGCAACTCAACCCAAATCAGCTCCTACCTATCCTATTCCCAAATACCTCCTGTCAACCATGTCAAGACAAAATAACTTCCAGGTCCAAAGGCAGCAGGTGCAAGGACAAAAATAGGAGGATACGATCAGAGCTTTGAAAATGTTTTGAACCACAGTTCTCAGAATCACCAAGCCAGCATGCTGGGAATGGCACTCCAAAATGTTCACATTTCCCCAGCTTTGAGGATGCTTTCATTCTCATGCTCTGCATGAGGATATGGCTGGCTAAGGCCATAAGCCAGATAATGACTTAGGACATATCTGCACTGTAGAATTAATTCCGTTTAACTACCATGCCTCAGTAGTATGAAAACATGGGAATTGTCTTCCAAGGTTTTTTCACCTTCTCTATCAAAGAGTTTTGGTGCCCCACCAAACTACAAATGCATAGCATTGAGCCATGGCAGTTAAAATAGTGTCAATCTGCATTAATTCTACAGTATAGATGCATCCTTAGATGAAAACCAAACATCATTCTCCCAGCTCTACTTGTAGATTAAAAAGAGAGGGGGACAGATACAACAAGAAAGTACCCAGTATGATGAACCACCCAGCATCCTATTACAGTCTCTTTCCTTACACATGATCTATTTTCACATAACAGGACATATTTTTATAAACCATCCACATTTTGGGTTGTTGTCTGTTTTTTCAGACTATATGGACATGGTCTAGAGGCATTCTCTCCTGATGTTTCGCCTGCATCTATGGCAAGCATCCTCAGAGGTAGTGAGGTGACCTCAATACCTCTAAGGATGCTTGCCATAGATGCAGGCGAAACGTCAGGAGAGAATGCTTCTAGACCATGGCCATATAGCCCGAAAAAACATACAACAACCCAGTGATTCCAGCCATGAAAGCCTTCAACATCCACATTTTGCCTGGCAAAATAGGCAAGGAGCAGCCACTGTGCCACAAAGCACAATCAATAATTCCATTGGCACATGTACTGCCATTATGCAGTTAAAACCATTGAAAAAATTTCAATCAAAAAGACAAAAAATAAAAGTCATTTTAAAAAGTCCATTTTACAAAAGGTTAAAAGTCATTTTTAACACAGTGCACTATTGCTGTTCCTTAAAAATCCTGTTGGAATAGAAAAGTTTTCATTTCTTGATGGAAATACAATTGCTGTTCCTTTAGCCATGGATTTGATATTCACGGTTTCACTTACCCATTCTCCAAAACACAATTTTCACCCAAGGAAGTGTTTGTAGGCCTCTCTAGGTCCTCCGGTGTGATTTTATGAACAAATATAGTCAAAAGATAGAGTTCGCTATTATCCTTGGTTTCAGGTATCCATGGGAGGTCTTAAAATATATCCCCACTGGCTACAAGATTTCTACTGTATAGCAGAAATCCTTTTTTAGAAAGTGACTTCTAGTCTCAGGGATCAGCCACTAAGGGCACTTCCAGACAGACTCCAAATCCACAACAAAGTGGATTTTAAAAGTGGGTTTGGAGTCCCCACACTGGCCATAAACCCCGAACTTTCCCAGGGAGGTGTCTACATGCCATCCTGATTCAAAGTGGGAGGACATGCAGCCACCATGAAGCCTTCCTCCCATTTCCCCATAAAAATAAAGTTAAACTTACCTGGCCATCATAACACCCCTGAGTAGTCCGAGGACTACCCAGAAATGAGCCCCCATAGGCCCAATACCCAAATAGATTTGGGATACCCAGATCCAATGGGTATTTAATTAATTGGGATTAAGTTATTCCAAATTAAATCATTTTTACCAGAGGTATTGTTTGCCCCTCCCCCCTCCCCCCACACACATATACCAGTAAAGATCTCATGTTATGGGCCTGTCTGGATGGGCCCTTAGAAGGACCAATTCTACATTCCCACCCAATCTTCCTGTGTACTCCCTAAAGACTTAGGGGCATTCATTCTCCACCCTTCACTCCTAATTCCTAATGTGGCTTATGTAAAAAGCAAAGCATAATGACAGTAATAATAAAATTTAAAAATCAACAGGATTTCAGATTTCCAAAGCATAGTCAGATATTTATATATAGCTTGAAATATTTGCCTGGAACCAAACAGTCAGCTGTATCATTGCAGATGAACCTTTCTGTGGAAAGCATTCCAAATTGGGCCTTCGACACTGAGAAGTCCCTTACTTTGGTAGTTTCACTGCAATTCCCACCATATCTTGGAACATCTTTTAAAGAAAAAGATCCTAACTTATGGGTGGATAGGATATGGATGGAGGCAGGCAGTCCTTCAAGTACCCTCCTATGCCACCAAAATAATGTTATATCTATTTTATTTTTGCTGGAGAGTAGAATGCCCTTACATTCAATTGAATATCCCACCCACTTAAGAAGGTGGATGAGAGGACTATGTAAAATGAATGAAAGCATAATATGGTAAGACAGTGGTTCTCAACCTGGGGTCCCCAGGTGTTCTGGCCTACAACTTCCAGAAATCCCAGCCAGTTTACCAGCTGTTAGGACTTCTGGGAGTTGAAGGCCAAAACATCTGGGGACCCCAGGTTGAGAACCACTGTGGTAAGACCTCCATATACACAGGGAATAGGTGCCAGCCAGACCTGTAATTGTGGACACAGTCAAATGCTATTAAATTACGCAAATTCTGGTCCTGGCATACTATAGAGTTGCATTGGAAGATGTTGAAATTCCTCAAGAGTTCACCTCGCAAGGAATTCACTAGGTCTGCCAATGCAATTCTACAGTAACTTCTTTGGGGAGCATACCATAGAATGCTTGGAGGATAATAGGAAATTCCTAGAGAGATCATTTTCACCTGGGTGTGGGTAAGTGAAATCATGAGTATGGTTACGGAGGTCTCATTTCAAGACCACATATGGGCTTCCTTGCAAGCCCTTTGGTAACTTCTCTTCCACCCAAGTTCTACAGAAGAAGAATTTTCTTCTCCTTTTTTATATTTTAATTTTTTTTTACATATGCATGAATCTTACTGATTTCTTTAATTTTTTTGCCACTCACATTTTTTCCCCATAATTATTTTTGTTCAGTTGCCCAACCCCAGGCTGTGATGGCAGCGGACACATCACGGGGAATTATGCTTCTCACCGCAGGTTAGTTGACCTTACCTACCCTATTCTTTCAGGTTCTGACAGTCTCTTAAAAATCTCTTTAAAAATGGTTGCTTTGGTTCTATTCCCCCCTTTCTTTTACCTCCCTTCCTTTTTTTTTTTTTTAGCTTACCCAAATATTCCATCTCTTCTTTTTCAGCCTTTCTGGTTGCCCTCTTGCTGACAAGAGCCTCAGAAATCTCATGGCTGCCCACTCTGCTGACCTCAAGTATGTTTGCGCTAAACTGGAATCTCTCTTCCCTCTTCTCTTTCTCTTTCCCTTTTGCTATGGCTCTTGCTTCTTCCTCCTTTCCTTGCACTTTTCCTTTAGAAAAAAAACCAATCAGAAACCTGCCTGTTAATCAGATCTATCCTAATCTGGCCAACAGACACATCTGTAATAGAAGAGAAAGCATCATGTTGTAGAATAGTGGAGGACAAATTCTAGAAGATGAAGGACGTAATGAGCTTCCATTATATATATATATATTGCCCCAAATGCCATCAAAGATGCTCTAGGATCATTGAGAAACCCTCAAGATGTTCCTGAGACCAGGAGAAGACTTTTTATAAACAAAGGAAGTGAATTGACATCACTTCCTATTTGCTTCTTGTTCCAAAAACGTTTAAATTCATACAGAAATGTCAGCACGTGGTGGGCATGTTCCCCACAACCCCAGAAGGCATTTGGAGCCAAAATGGTTTTGAAAAAAAATGCAAAATATTTGTTTGGCATTCAGGATACCCAGATCACTTCCAAATGCAGTGGGAAATACCCTCTTAACCTTCTTTTGAGCATTTTAGAGAAAAACAAATTTAAAAATGCAAAGAAAATGACCCCCTGACAGGCTTAGAGGCAAGAAAAATGGACACAAAGTCTGTGTACATTCCATAGGCCATATTTTGTTGAATACGTTGAAGAATATTCCAAAAAATATGTTGAAGAGTATTCCATAAAACCAAATTGATTTTGATTGGACTGTCTTGGAGGATGGTAGAGTCTCCTTTGGAGGTCTTTAAAGAAAACATGTGTGGACATCTCTAATTTGTGTATTCCTACCTGGCCAGGGGATTGGTTAGATTGCCCTTTTAATCCTTTCCAAATCTATGATCCAATGTCATTTGCACATGTGTTCCTCTGAACCACAGGCAGATTTTTATTGGCTCTCATGGAAATATGCTATTCTCTTTTCCTCCCACGTCTTCCTTCATGATCTTCTAGAGATTGCAACATCACTAGTATTTTCCTTGCATAATAAAGCAACACCATTTTTGTCAGGTTGAGAACATACATCCCATGTTTTACTCATTTCTGTTAACAATAAATGGATGACAATGCAACTTCTTCCTACATATTATTCAATGTTGCTATTCCTCTGAATCGAGTTTATTTCAACACTATCCCAGAATCAAATCAATTGCATTTGAGTTGCATGTTAATGTCAAGTCCCAGTTATTGAAAAATAATATTAGTAATTATTAAATTAGTAAAAATAATAGTAATTTGAAAAAGGGAGGGGAGGAGGAAATGGGGACTCAATAATTTTGAAATCACGCATCTATCTAGCCCTCATGTATAGGCAAATCCGATCGTTCTTTTGCCGGTCCCATTCTTATATTCATTCTTGAAGGTTGCTTTAACTCTTGTTCTTGGTGAATCTGAGTTTACGTGATTTTTTAAACTTATTTTCCAACTGTTACGATGCTGAGTTTGCTTTCTTGGTCGGCCTGGATAGAATATTCAATTGGTTGCAACAATCATCCAGTCTTTTCCCTAACATAGATCTGCCTCATGTTCTATTATTCCAATAAACAAGATCTGTACAAAATATTTGCCAGGGTACATTAAACTGGAATATGGGGTGGTTTGAAGTTGGTAGAAGAATTCACACTTCTTTAATATTCAGTCCAGAAGAATGGCGTTGATTGAGAATGAGTCTAAAGCAAGAAATGATCAAAAACACATAACAGCGAGGAATATCATGATGCAGTCTACTACAAGATGGTAGAATACTTTCTCCAGAAAACAGAAGCGTTTATAGAATCATAGAGTTGGAAGAGATCATGTGGGCCATTTAGTCTAGCTCCCTGCCATGTAGGAAAAGCATGGCAAGAAATATTTGTCTACCTTAGTATTAAGGTAGACAAATATTTCCTGCCATGCTTTTCCTTAATACTATCTGCGTTTACTTGAAGGTAAACACTATAGCATTTGCAGATTTGATCAATATGATCTCTCTATGAATCTTTTGGTCTTCAAGTGTGATTCCAAGTTCAACTTCTGCCATAAGTTGACTACAAAGTTGGAGGACATTAATATTCCTAGATATAACACCTCTCTAGAAATCTCTAGAGCAGTAGTTTCAAATCTTTGGTTCCCCAGGTCTTTTGGACTTCAGCTTCCACAATTCCTAACAGTTGGTAAACTAGCTAGGATTTCTGAGAGTTGAAGTTCAAAACACTTAGAGAACCAAAAGTTGGGAACCACTGCAGAACCTCCAACATAACTCTATGGGGAACTTCTGGCAGAAGTTGACAATTGAGTCACATTGAAGGATTTAGAGATTTCCAAAGGAGTGTTATTTCAGCTTAAAAGTTATTTTTTATTTACAGGTTTTCCACTATTACAGGGGTCCTGTATCCCTAACCCTTGCAGAGGTGGAAGGCTTACTATAATTCAGCTTGGAAATGCAGCCTTCAAAATATACTTCAAAGGAAAAATAATGGATCATTCGAAATTATTTATGTAAAGGATTTGAATGTTAGCAAAAAGAAGTCCCTGATTCTGAAGAATCCCCAAAGACATCCATTAGACTTGTTCACTTGGACATAAACTGTGATGTCAAAGTCATGTTTAACATGTAGTTTGAACTATTCAGAGCTATCAACCAGTAGTCAGAGCTTGAAAATGTTATTTTGATTCAAGCACACATAACCACCATGTTAGCTGGGGAATAATAAGAGTTGTAATCCAAAATCATTTTTCCATGCTTTGACTTTGGTCATGCAGTGCTGTTCATGATGTCTGAAAGCCTCAATCAGTCCAGTATTGTTGGGGTTTTTTCCACATATTTTAATAGCAGAATTTCATATGTTATAAGCAACTAACTTCCCCAGAAAGGTAAGTTCTTTGCAGTCCAAAAACATTCTTCTCCCTTCAGAGATGTCTGGTGAATTATTTCTGGCAAGTGAGCAAAAAGTTTAGTGGGACACACTTTATGTTCATTAGAGTTTGTTCATAAAAAGCTCTGCTTGTGACTTCCTCCAATATTCTCCATTGCAGCATTAAGTAGTGACTTGCATGTGTGAATGCATGATCAGATCTAACATTGCAGGTAGAACATTCATATCACATTCACATAGGGGTTTTTTTTAGTGGTGTCAATTCATTCATTCAGCTACCAAATAATCAAAGGTTGAGTCATTCAGCCTGGAGAAATCAACAAGATGTACTTGCATTTTGTTTATTTACTAGCACATGGGACAAAGTGCTAAATTCAGATCATTGCCCTGGGAAGTGCAATGTGTCTTAATGAGGAGTTAATGAAGCTTGAGGAAATATCAATGGCTGCTATAGAAGTTTCAATAATTGCTGGGAAAGAAGTAAAGTATGGGTCTATGTAAACAAATTATTATTTATTTCTAGATTGTTGTTAACAGCCATTGTGGTGTAGTGGACTAGGACTCTGGAGATCAGGGTTCAAAAACCCACTCAGCCATGGAAACCCAATGGGTGACCTTGGGCATGTCATTGTCTTCAGAGGAAGAAAAAAACTTGCCAAGAAATTTTCATAATGTTGTTAATACTTTATGGTCCTTACATGTAAGCATCATAGTAGCAGTGTGCACTGAACCCCAGCATGATCTTCCACATCCACATTTTCAAGGAAGCAGTTGTTGCGATCAACAGATATCTGTTCTCCTGTCACTAAGGAAGGAGTTGGCTACTGTTTCTATCCCCTTTGAGGTGCTTCCCATTACAACAAGCATAAATGGGAACCCTATCATGATTTCCTTTCACATTGGAGATGACTGGCATTGGGGAAGAGGTGGGAACATATTCCCACCAATTGTAGTAGCTGCTGCCCGGTTAAGTGGAGATTGGGGGACCTTTACTGTTCCTAAGTAGCTCCTAAACTAGGGACTAAGTAGGGACCATCAAAACATAGCTATCACAAGTGTGCAACTCCAGGTTGTGCATTCACAACTGTGATACAGGAGTCCAGTCATGATAATAATGGTTCCATCTCTGTGTGTGAATGTATAATGTATATTTTAATACTTATTATAAAATGGTAATGGGAAGAACAATTATGGAATCAGACAAAATTCATTGCTTCAGATGCATTTCACTTAGGGTGCATCTACACTGTTTTATACAAAGACTGTCCTGATTCATTGCAATGGAATTATGGGATTTTAAGTTTTACAAGGTATTTCGTGTTCTCTGCCTAAAGGTGTTGGTGCCTCATCATACTACAGCTCCCAGTATTTCATACCATTGAATCATGGAAGGTAAAGTGGTGTCAAACTGCATTAATTCTGCAGTGTAGATGCACCTTTAGTCTTGAAAGTGCTGCTTAATTTCTTTTTTTAACCTTTTTCACTTTACGCAGAAGCAAACTAATATGTAGTGATGTAATTTATTGCTAATTTCTTCTCAAAGCAAATAACAAGTTACTTTATCCATTTTCTTCCTGCTGCAAGAAAATGACAGTTTTGAAGTTCAAGATTTATTCTGCGAAAAATTAACACATTAATGTTTTGTGCAGAAAACAGCCATTTTTTCATAGCAAACATCTATTTTTTTCTGTGCAGAAAATTATATTTCAACACAAAAATATTATTTTATATGCAGAAAGTTTGCTTCATACACAGAAAACTGTTTTCTGAGCAAAATAACTAGGTGACCATTTTGTGTAGAATAAGTCCTTACCTGCAAATATTCTAATCTCAGCAGAATTCATCTTGTGAAAATTTCCTAACATTTGAAAAACATGCTCTTCAAAAAATTTTGAATTCCCATTCCTACTAACACCATACCTTTGACATTACTAATATTGGTTGTTTTGTTGTTGTTGTTGTTGTTGTTGTTGTTGTTGTTGTTGTTGATTGTGACCACTGTATTATTACCGTCTCATATCTAGTTAGGCTAAATCTCACCTGTCTATAAGACAGTCAACAAATTCTATAACAATCTTGATGTGGGTTGTTGTAGGGTTTTTCGGGCTATATGGCCATGGTCTAGAGGCATTCTCTCCATATAGCCTGAAAAAACCTACAACAACCCAGTGATTCCGGCGATGAAAGCCTTCAACAATCTTGATGTGAAATGTAAATAAACATTTTGATAAATATTTTGATTACATATTTGAAGTTGGTTTACTCTGTGGGCCTCACTTCTGTCACTCTGGAATAGTTCAAAAGCTACAGCCCCTGTTAAAAAAATTTTCAACCTATCCATGGTAAACTGGTAAAGTTTGGTGTTTTGCTGTCTCCTCAAAACTGACTTTCCTTCAATGGGTTTTCTGTCTGGGCATGTTCAGTATGACTCTTGTATCCATCCAGAAGGGTACATTCCAAGACCTCTTGGGTTCCTGAAATTATGGATAATTTGAAATCCTTTTTAAAACTATACTTGGGCTAGAAGAGTTCTATAGAATCACACTGGAGGATCTAGAGAGCCTCACAAACACTTTTGCAGGGAAATATTTTGCAGCTTGGGTAAGAGAAACCATGGATATTAAATCTGTGGATAAGGGGTTCATACTGCATTTTTGTGGAGCTTTAGGATGCTGTGAAATATTTTTTGCTAACTTGTATCAGAAGCAACCTAAGAAATCCTACCAGCCCACTAAGTGTAAGACATGGTGATAAGCCATTGAACTAAGACACAGAAAATGGATACATCTTGAATAAATCTTGGATCATTCTAAAGAATGCATTATTATCCATGAGGAAATGGATAATGTAGCTTCTTCAAGGTAGATTTTACCCTCTGCATCAGTAACAATATTCATTGAAAATCAAAGAAAGCACACATGGAATACTAACATCTCTGATGGCAAAAGGAAGCAACAAATCTTAAGTATTACTGGAAATGTATGTTAAAGTTGCACAGGAAAAATGGAAAGTTTAGCAATGAAAGACTAATTTTACTTTCCAAAAATTGAACCTCCGGAACAAGAGGGCATAAGGACCTGTCATTACTAAAGAGGAAAGCATATGAGTGAATCATTCAGTCACTAATGTCAAATTCTTTGTTGGTTTTCTTCGAACAGAGACTTCTCATCCAACGCTTTTTTATAAAGGTTATTTATAAATTCATTCAAGTCTGAATTAGTAACAGTGAGTGTGGGAAAACTGTTGAATTTTTCATTCCAGCCATTTACAGTCCTTGCTTGTAACACCCTTCTCATCTTCTTTTGATGGTGATGGAAACAGGAATGTTATCCATGTTTGCTTTTGTGGATGGTTTTTTGTTTTGTTTTTTTATCAGCTGGCTATTCAGAATGATGTTTGAAAATCCACATTCAGTCTGCAACATCCTCAGTGACAAATTATTGATGATATTGCATGAAAGATAGAAAACTGGTCAGCAAATATCTATGGTGTAACAATTGTCCGTGAAATCATTTACTCATTTATATTTACTTGGTTGTGTAGCCATGTTGGTATTATGTTGACTTTTTCCCTAAATAATATTATCCAAATGTTGGAAATGGTTTTGGCCTGCAGTCCTTACTGCTTTTCTTTCTTTTGTCATTAACCAGGTGCCCAACTCCTGGCTGTGATGGCTCCGGTCATATAACAGGAAATTATGCATCACATAGGAGGTAAGTCGGATGGGTGTATGGAAATATTAGCGGAAACTGGGGGCTCATCCAGAATTGCAAAATGTGTCAACGGTGCTTCAGATGGTGCAAATGTAGGGGAGAAAGGGCAGAAGATGGCATTTCCAGTAGGCTTTTCAATCCTTTGTTGTAGGCAACAATAGGGGAACTCGTCTGAATAAGCATTCCAAATGAATAATAATCAAGCAAAGAGTGAGGCAAAAAGTATAGGAGGCAACAGTAAAAACTAAGTATTTGAGGGCCCTTCAGATAACCTGCCAACTGTGAGGCAAAAAAAGACTAGTCACAGGACAAAAGGGTAAAAACAGGGAATGTGATTTGAAACCAGAACAGAAAATGTACTTCCAAAAGTATCAAAGTATCCACAGTCTAAACATGGCCAATATTTCGTGATCCTTTCCATATGCAAACATGTGTGACCAGGCTCTGTGAAGCTGCCACACATGTATGCAAAAGTCCCATTCTAGAGCTTTCTCCAAAAAGTAAATACTGCAGAAAATGGGTGGAAAGGAAGTGGAAAGATGCTTATTTGCCAATAACTCATGGTATTTTCAAACATTTTGTGGGGTGTGTGTTTCTGTGTGTGCATTCAAGTCATGTGTCAACTTATGGTAACTCCTTGGATTTCATGGAATTTTCTTAGGCACTGAATCCTCAGAAGTGGTTTTATCAGTTCCTTCCTCTGAAATATCTCATAAATGTTTACTCAGAAGCAAGCTCCATTGACTTTAATGGAGCTTACTTCATCTAGCACTATATGCCTTCTGCTACATGATGGCTTTTTATGCAATGGAGGGTTTTGCATGCACATGTTGTCCAGGAAGGTGACCTGTTCTGTCCAAAATTGTGGCCAATGGTATGATGAACTTTGTTAATGAGTCGGGGCATCACCGGTGTGGGAGGAATATGTAAGGTATAAGATATGCTGAAACACATACAAAAGATATAACTGCAATTGAAGCAGAAAATACATTAAAGGGCTAATAAAAGAATGCTGCTGATGCCTGTAGACCAGTGGAATTGGCAAAATGCCTGTTCCTCAAACAAATTCAGCACCTTGGATAGGTCCTTTAAAGGTTAAAACTCAGATGGGTCCTTTAAAACCCAGATTCACTTTTCCACTGATTTCAAAGGCATTGGTCATCACTACACTTTACACAATGACTGCTAGCTGACTTTGGTTACAAGTGGAGTGCAGAAGGGAGGCAGCTGCTAGAAGGAAAAGCATGAGGTGGGAAAAGGCACCACTCCAGGGCCTGCAAATCAAGAGAAAAGAGAAGGCTTTTTCAAGGAAGCCCAGTGTAGGATAGCTCCAGGTTGATTGCTTTTCCTTCCTTGGGATGGTCTCCTCTAAAAACAGAAGTGAAAGGTTCCCATGAAGTGAGGTTTCTTAAGCTTTTTATTAAACTTAGGTCTTCTCTACAGACAGAAGGGGAAGGATCACAGAGAGAGTGGTATCTTAACTCTGATGCTTTTAATCCAGGTCTTAAGGATATAAGGACAAACAATGCCTATAATGATGGGATGGGGAGCCTGGACATCCCCCCCCCCCCCAATAATGGGCCGGATCAAAAGCTCCTCCTGAATTTGGGAGGCTCCAAAAAAAACTCCTCCTGATTGGGACCCCCACTAAAATCCAGGACACCGAAATAGATTGCAGTTTACCCGGATTGCACATGCCTAGTGATAAGCAATTGCCTAAATCTTCTTAAAAGCTAAAATAACAAATCCGAGGCTTTCATATATTGGACATATCACAAGATGATGTGACTCAATGGAAAAAGCAACAATGCATACAAAAGTAGAAAGCAATAGGAAAAGAGAAAGACTGCATTACTGATTACTTTATTCCATTGGAGAAGTCAGTTTTCAAGGTCTGAGCAGAGCTGTGAATAATAGGTCTCCCATTCATAGGATCACCATGAGTCCAACTCAACTTGATAGCAAATAACCTATGGTAATTCCTCCAACTTTGGCAGGAAAAATGAAATGCAAAGATACAAAATGGGGGATGCCTGGCTTGAGAGCAGTACGTGTGAAAAAGATCTTGGAGTCCTCATGGACAACAAGTTAAACATGAGCCAACAATGTGATGTGGAGGCAAAAAAAGCCAATGGGATTTTGGCCTGCATTAATAGGAGCATAGAGTCTAGGTCCAGGGAAGTAATGCTTCCCATGCTCTATTCCACTTTGGTTAGACCACACCTGGAATATTGTGTCCAATTCTGGGCACCACAATTCAAGAGTGATATTGACAAGCTGGAATGTGTCCAGAGGAGGGCGACAAAAATGATCAAGGGTCTGGAGAACAAGCCCTATGAGGAGCGGCTTAAGGAGCTGTGCATGTTTAGCCTGAAGAAGAGAAGGCTGAGAGGAGATATGAAAGAACATTACCAGCTCTATGACCGACTTAGCCAGAAGAACCTACAAAACATTCCCGTTAACATATTATTTTTGTGTCTATTTCTCCCACATTGTCTTCCTTGGATCCTTTACAGAATGCAAGCTATGTAACAAAAGAGATGCATATCCAGTATGTGTATTTTATGTGTCATCATTCCAGTCCCACAGACATGTCTTTTTCCTCAAACACAATGGATGTATTTCCAGAGTGTTCCTAAGTTTGAAACAAGTGAGCCTTACTTTCATCTCTCTAATCTGATTTTTTAAAAGGAAAACATTTCCCAGAATCAGATTAGAAGCTCTCTCTTCAGCAAAATAAAAGACAAAGGGGTCAGATTTTAGCTGACACATAATTCCTGTTAATAACATTGCCTATTTATGACTTCTATTATCTTCCGTGAACATTAATGGGGACCTCACAGTCTCCCATTTGAACAGTTCCATTAACAGCTGCTGCCTGCTAGCAAATGCCTTCTTATCTAGGCACTATTAATTGCAAAGTATCTCCCCTTCAAAGTGAACAGCTTCTTTTCTTTTTCTTCTTAATTTTCACCACCACGTTCCCCCTTGTGAGGTGTGGGAAACAGAATTATCAAGATCAAAGCACATACAGGAGGAATCAAAGGCAGAAATTGTTCCTTTTTGCTGGGTTGAGGTGAGGGAGGGTTTTGCAGAAAGGTGCTGGTTCTATGCAATAGAGAAATATGCAAAGGTTCAATTATCTGTTCATCCACAGGCTTTAACAAGGTGCAGGGCTTCTTTTTATGTCACAAAAAAGTAAGCCTTCCAGGATTCCTTGGATATCACATTTACAACCAGTGTTTCCATAGGGTGCATCTATACTGTAGAATTAATGCAGTTTGACCCCCACTTTAACTGCCGTAACTCAGTTTTATGGTATTGTGAGGCACTAGCACTCTTTAGCAGAGATGGCTAAAGATGTCAAAGTACAACGCCAAGTAGTATCAATTTTTTGGAATTGTGTGATTGTGATCCTGTGGTGATTTCACTCAGGTGGTTTGCCAGTTTGTTTAGAAATTACAAAACACATATCACACCTGGAAACAGTTGTTTTTTAGTACAGATTATCAGGAATTCCGGAAACCAAAACACAATTGCTTAAGCGGCTGAGGGGGAAAAGGAAGGGTCCTGAGGCTGTTAGGAATGGTGGGAGTTGAAGTCCAAAACACCTGGAGGGCTGAAGTTTGCCCATACCTGTTATAGACTGTGGTAAATCCCTTGCACCAAGTCCAGAACTTTATATTTTCCTTCCCCTCATTCTTCATTTCACTCCCTAAATTTAGTTTATCCTGCATTCCTAATTTAATTCAGAATATGTGCTTTCGGGACAGGCAGCTTGCCTATTCCTATTGTGTGTTCATGAGATAAGACAAACCATTAATCAAAGTCAAAGGAGGGAGGGGGGTTGATTGAGGTTTGATGCCAACATATGTGCTGCTGGAGAAGCTGCAAATATGATGCCCTTTCTTATTCTCTTTTTTTTAAAAAAAAATAGTCTATCAGGCTGCCCTCGTGCCAAGAAAAGTGGAATCAAGATCACCCCCACAAAGGATGACAAAGAGGATCCAGAGCTGATGAAGTAAGTGGCAAGTCTCTTTAATTATCTTTTTGTGGATGCCTTACACAAAACATCGATATTTAAGAAACAGCTCCCACACCTTAATGTACCTATACAAGGCTCTTAGAAGACATTGGACTAAAACTGTCATAGAATGATAGAGTTGGAAGATACCCCCGTTGCCTTGCTGTCCAATCCCATGCAGGAATACACAATCAAAACACCCCAATAAGATGGCCATCCATCCACTTAAAAACCTCCAAAGAAGGAGACTCCACCGGATTCCCAGGAAGCATATTTCTCTTTTGAACAGCTTTTACTATCAGGAAGTTTTTCCCAATGTTTAGATAGAATCTCTCTTCTTTTGTCATTTGAATCCAATGCTCCAAGTCTTGGTCTCCAGATCAGCAGAAAACAAAATATACAGGGTTAGTCAAAATGAATAGGCCAATAAGAAAATTAATTTTAGACGAATGTATGTTTACTGTAACCAAACCACAGCTACGTAGCGACAGATAAACTATCAAAGTTTTTTTTGAGCAACACACATGTACGTTAATGCCGCTAGGCGTCGCTAGGGGTCGCTGTTTTCAAAATGGCGGAATCAAGCAAAGAGAAGGCGTTTTGTGTGATGACATTTGCTAAAACAATGTCAGTAATTACGGTCCAGCGAGAATTTCAAGGGTTAGGGTTAGGGTTAGGGTTAGGGTTAGGGATAGGGTTAGGGTTAGGGTTAGGGTTAGGGATAGGGTTAGGGTTAGGGTTAGGGTATAGGGTTAGGGTTAGGGTTAGGGTTAGGGTTAGGGTTAGGGTTAGGGTTAGGGATAGGGGTAGGGTTAGGGTTAGGGTTAGGGTTAGGGTTAGGGTTAGGGTTAGGGATAGGGTTAGGGTTAGGGTTAAGGTTAGGGATAGGGTTAGGGTTAGGACCTCAACGAACACCTTCCCAGACGTTGCTGCATTCGATGCCATTACGTCGGATGTGCTGCAACGGATGTGGAATGAACTGGACTATCGCTTGGACATCTGCCGTGTCACACGGGGCGCCCATATCGAACATCTCTGAAGGTGAGACAAAACTTTGATAGTTTATCTGTCGCTAAGTAGCTGTGGTTTGGTTACAGTAAACATACATTTGTCTAAAATTAATTTTCTTATTGGCCTATTCATTTTGACTAACCCTGTACATCGTACTAGAAAATCAGTCTTAGAACTTTCATCCAACTGTTGCTAGCAACAATCAGAGTACCATAAACAGGAATTCCGGAAACCAAAACACAATTGCTTAAGCGGCTGAGGGGGAAAAGGAAGGGTCCTGAGGCTGTTAGGAATGGTGGGAGTTGAAGTCCAAAACACCTGGAGGGCCAAAGTTTGCCCATACCTGTTGTAGACTGTGGTAAATCCCTTGCACCAAGTCCAGAACTTTATTTGAAACAACACACCGGGATTGTGGCGCAGCTGGCTGAGTGTCAGCTGCATTAAGATCACTCTGACCAAAAGGTCATGAGTTCGAAGCCAGCCCGGGCTAAAGTGGGTGTCCAGCCATTGTGTAGTCCGTTGTCGACCTTTGCAACCCAAAAGACAGTTGCATCTGTCAAGTAGGAAAATAAGGCACCACCTTGTGTGGGAGGCTAAATTTAACTAATTTATGAGGCCATAAAGAAAGAAGACTCTGGGGAATGTGGAATGTGGAAGAACTTCATCGGTGTCGTTGATGGACGATGAAAAGCAGCAGCTCCCCTGGCGGCCAGAAAAAAAAAAGTTAAATAGCCTTTGTCTGTTAAATGTTGTTTGTCAAACTGGCATTGAATGTTTGCCATATATACTTGGAATTCAAGTATATTGTTCAGCCTGATAGCAGAGCTCTGTTGGAGCATGCAAGGAATCTGTGTGTGTGTGTGTGTGTCTGTGTTTGTGTGTCAACTGTAAAATAAGATGTATGAAGCAATGCCCGAGGAGATGATTATATTTTCTTGCCCTGTTGAAGGAAGTTGGACTGGATGGCCTTAAGGCAGCATTTCTCAACTTGGGGGGTAGGAACCCCTGGGACTTTTGGATACTTTGGAGCCTGGGACTTTTGGATACTGTTACATTTTTGTTCAGGCTTGAGCTATGCAGGTGTTCAACAGGCAGAGGAGAGAAGCAGAGAGAGAGTTTGGTCTGTGCTATTGCTTCATGAGCTGCTGAAAGGGTTGATCCAAATGGACAAAGAAAAACTATTTTAAACCTCTCATAAAAAGGACATTATGTGAGTTGATGCAACCGATCACATTGTGCATATGTTGTTCCAGATTTGTGAAAAGTAAACTACTTGTTCTTCATTGTTCATCTGCATGGCATATTTTCTTTCTCTGGCAAGGCAGTGTGTGGGCTGATCAAACATGGATTATGCGTGATTTATTTTACATCACAGCACATTCCTGCCATTTCAGAGACCTTCATTCTCTCTCCAGACATGGATAGAGTGCTATATTTTTGTTCCAAATAATGGGAAAACAGAATTAATCTAGCCTGTCCTTGCTCAATTGGAACAATTGGAAGATATGTAGAAGGCAGTAGGGGGGGGAAGAGAGATTGCAGTACAGGTGGATTGCTTTTGTCAAGAAAACCATGGCTGCCCTTTGTTTACAAGATCAGAGCAGAGCCATTGATGATTGGGAATAATTTTGGAAAGTTCTTGTTTCTAGGGTTACCATAAGTTGAAGACAACTTGAGAGCAAATACCAACAACAACACTTCTGTTTCCAGCAAACCCTCCCTGCTCTTGGTTCATTTACTCTTTTATAAGACTAATGTTGAATGAGTGGGAGGGTAGAATTTCCCATCTTTTTGTTTGTGTGTCAGCACACAGAGACCTTTATATTCAAGCAGGCGTTTGGCCACTCAACTCTCTCAGGAACAGGCTTTTAACTGGATGAAGACTGTATTTTCTTTTGTTGGCATGCTTCTGAATTGTGTTTTAAATGCTGTGTGCTTTTACCTATTTGCTTTTTAATTATGTTAGTGCTGTTTCAGTCTAAGAAATTCTGGATCCCATTTGTGGTAGATATACCAAATCAATGCAAACAAAGAAAACACTAGTCGTGAAAGCGTATACCCCCAAACTATTCCAGTGTGGCAAAGAAAATATAATCTGACCTCCCACTTTTTTTTCCCAACTGTTTTAAATATATAAAGGTTGCCCTATTTTTCTCCCACATTGCTCGTTTGTCACTTTCTGTAAACTGAGTTGAAAGTGCAATACTAGTTGCACTGTCAGGGGTGCTTTGAGTATGATTTTCCTGCTTTTTGGCAGAGGGTTGGACTGGATAGCCCATGAGGTCTCTTCCAACTCTATGAATTTATTGTTCTAATTTAATTGGGTGAAAGAACAAAAACCATGCCTTTCCCAACGGGCTTTAGCAAAAGCAAAACACTGTAGCCTCTCCATCATAATTTTTCTTCCTAATTTATGTATTCTTCATAATATTTGCCATCTTGGTTTTACCACCTCCTTCTTCCTATTATTACTATATTAATATTAATATTAGTAGTAGTAGTAGTATTGGAGCCTCCGGTGGTGCAGTGGGTTAAACCGGGGAGCTGCTGAACTTGCTGACTGAAATGTCAGTGGTTCGAATTCGGGGAGCAAGGTGAGCTCCCACTGTTAGCCCCAGCTTCTGCCAGGTTGGCAGTTCAAAATATGCAAATGTGAATAGATCAATAGGTAACACTTCAATGGGAAGGTAACAACACCCAATGCAATCATGCTGGTCACATGACCTTGAAAGTGTCTATGGACAACACTGGCTCTTTGGCTTAGAAATGGAGATGAGCACAGCCCCCATGGAGTCGGACACGGCTAGACTTAATGTTAAGGGGAAACCTTTACTTTTTTTAGTGATAGGAGTATCATCATCCCTCCTTTACCCTGATAATGGGACTCAAGGCAGCTAAAAACATATGTAAAACAAGTTAAAACAGTGTTTCACAACCTGGGGGTTGGGACCCCAGAGGGGGTCACGAGGGGGTGTCACAGGGGTCACCAAAGACCATCAGAAAAAAAACAGTATTTTTTCTCTTGGTTATGAGGGTTCTGTGTGGGAAGTTTGGTGGGGTTCAGAATGTTTTTTGTAGGTGATCTATAAATCCCAGCAACTGCAACTCCCAAGTGTTAAGGTGTCACATTGCCAGGGCTCTACCTTATTTGGGTAGAGATGAACCAAACTCCCGGTTTTGTCAAACAGCGCTTACTTGCTGGGTGTTTTAATAGACCAAAATATATAACATAAAGATAGCACTCAGCCACAGAATAAACAAAAACTGATAGCAAAAACAACTCCGTAGTCAAAAGGGTTCCGTCCAGTAGTCAAACGCTGAGAGTTCAATAACAGAGTCCAGGGATCAAGAGTCTATTCCGTAGTCAAAAGCCAGTCCAAGGTTCCAGGGTTCCAAGGTTACAGGAGACCAGTCAGGATACCGAAAATCCAACAGACCTGGAGGGAAAGCCAGCAGCATCCACCACCAAAATATGACAATACTTTTCTCTCGAAGATCAGTGCCAAGGCTAGCTCCTTATATCCAGAAACACCCAGCTGCAACCCATCTCTTGCATACCACCACCCTTAATAGCTTTCACCCATGAACTCTTACTTACAGATTACTAAACCCTTTAGAACTAATACTTACATTAACCCTTCCATCACCAAGCACCATCAACTGCAGAACATATGTCACAAGGTCTATTTTCTCCAAACTCCACCAGGGTTCATATTTGGGCATATTGAGAATTTGTGCCAAGTTTGGTCCAGATCCATCATTATTTGAGTCCACAGTGCTCTCTGGATATAGGTGAATTACAACTCCAAAACTCAAGATCAGTGCCCACCAAGCCCTTCCAGTATTTTCTGTTGGTCATGGGAGTTCTGTGTGCCAAGTTTCGTTCAATTCCATTGTTGGTGGTGTTCAGAATGCTCTATGATTGTAGGTTAACTATACATCCCAAAAAAGTACAACTCCCAAATAACAAAATCAATGCCCCACCA